TGGCTCGTTCCGCACGATAAGGCCTCAGGGTTGAGGGTTGGGGTTTGGGGTTTGGGGTTTAGGATTCAGGGTTGAGGGTTTGGGATTTAGGGTTTATAGGGTTTCTGATGGAGGTTGCGATAAGTTGGGCGGGTGATACTGCCCCGCGCTTGCAACGAAGATGGACGTGGGTTCTATGCGTGTAGGGCTGTTGGGATCTGGATTTTTTTAGGGATTGGCTTTTACCGAAGGGGTGTAGGGGCTTTGGCTTTAGGGCTTAGGGTTTCGGGAGTTTAGGATTAGCGATTCGTAGCCTCAGGGTTTACTGTTTGGAGCTGGTTGCAAGAGTATGGACAGCAGGTTGGTCGTTGGCTTTATTGGTGTTGCTCATGTGGCTGGCATTTCGTCAACTGTTTCCCGCGTTCTTTACTGCAGTTTAGCTCGCAAATGGGCCTTATGTAGTGCTACAGTACTGCTCGGGCTATCCTGATCGCACATGACAATGCAAGCATTGTCGACTAGATGAGCACGTGTAAGTTCTATGCCTGTTTTCGCTCTGAAATGGTATGGACTGTTGTATTCAGCGTCTTTTGCAAAAATGAGTGAGCTCCTTGTTGTTCGTATGTCTGTCTATGGGATTAACACCATTAAGATTTCACATGAAGCTAGCAACCGTACCGCTGGCGCTGTGAGTGTGACTCGCACTTTGTTCACTCTTCGCCTTTTGGCCTCATGCACTCTGGCTGTAGTGTAGTGCTCTTCCTAGCAGTGCATCGACTGTTCTGAGGATTTCAAGGCATTCGGATTTCAAGGCATTCGTTCGTAGGCTTGCTGAGTATCTTTTTGTGGAAAGGCCGCGAAGTACGTCGCCGTCTCCTCCGATCTCGGCAGCGGTCTCAGGGAAGGCTTGCCGAGGAGGTTTTCTTCTCTCACGGTTGGGGTTGTGTCAAAAAGCCCTCAGTCTCGTTTGCGGTCTTCGGTTTGGGATCTCGGGAGTTTCCGGATTTAGGTTGTTTTTGAGAGTATGCACTTTGCTTCCGGGGTTTTGGCTTGTAAGCACCTGAAGCGGAACCCAAGTCCTAATCCTTAAGACCTTGAACTTATCTGCTAACCGATAATAAACCTTAATCTGAAGCCTAAAATTTGCCCGAGTGCCCGAAAGCTGAACACCCTAACCCTAAAGCACCCCAACCAGTGTTGCCTCTACAGCCCGGATGTCACTGAGGTGGGGTACTCTGCGCCGAGTGTCTTGGCTTCTTCGGCAGCGTCCTCAGCAGTTCTGAGTTTACGACTGCGGTTCCCAAATCCATGCAGCACCAGCACCAGCAGCAGCAGGACATCGTCAGATCTACATCCCCATCCTCGTATGAATTGGCAGTATTTCCACGGTCATTGTCGTCATCATCGTCATCATAATGATCATCATCCTCATCATCCTCATCACCGCTACCATCACCATCATCATCAGCATTTCTATCATCAGGATCAGGCTTCTCATAGCCAGTATCATCAGCATCTTCATCATCGTCTTCATCATGACTCGTTTTCCTCATCATCAGCTTTGATGTCCAGGTAGTCATCTTCCCCACCATGATGACGGTTATCCCCATATCAGCACCAGTGTCATCATCGTCATCATCATTATCATCATCGTCACCAGCAGCGTCTCGTCTCCAAGACGTCATCATCACCGTCCGTGTCATCGCAAATGTCATGGTTGTCGTCATCACCACTATCAAATCAAGAAGGTTTACTGCTCACGATGATCAGAAGGACGGTGCCTATAGTTGGCTTTCAGAAATCCCGTCCAGGGAGGGATTAGCAAACTCTCCGAACTTATGATCGGTTTAGGATGTAGCGTCTCCAGTGGCCTCACGTATGTTTCTGTGTTTAGCTTGTCAGGGCTTAGGGGTGTAGGGTCTAGCATTGGGGTTGTTTCGAGTTTGGTTTCTTACTGTCGTTTGCTGGTCCAAAGCATATTGTATTTGCTCTTATTGGGCTTAGGAGGATTTATCTACGAATATTTTTCGAGGGCTTTAGAAGCACCTCCTACTTGGAGGATCCGGGGACTTAGTAAGTAAGGTTATAAGTCCCCTAATTGGGGTTATAGGTAATTATAAGTACAGTTACCTTACTTATAACCCTAGTTACTAAGTCCCATGATCCTTTAAGTAGTGGTCCAGCAGAAGCTGGCGCTGCCAGGTAGCGCCGATGCAAAGTCGGGGCCCCGGCCGGCTTGGGTTCCAGGAAACGAAACACACCTAGTAGTAGAATCGGTAAGCTTTTTCACATACTTGGGGTACCATATCCCCCACCTAGTAGTAGAATCGGTAACTTTTTAACATACGTACTTGGGGTACTATATCCCCATATAGTTTCAATATGCTCCCAAAGTGTCGCCCTTAGTTCCCCAGGATACTGGCACCATCATCACCAATAAATGGACATCATCAACATCATCATCGTCGTCATCGTCATGACCGTCATCACCATCATACTCAGGATCATCATCATGAGCATCAGCATCGTCATCAATCATCATCGTCAACAACATCATGGCCGTCGTCATCATCATTATCATCATCACTGACATGATCATGACCATGAGTGCGAGTTGGAGCATACCCTGCTCGTTGCACGTGGAACCCCTACCCAGTAAGTTGTTATTTTTGGGGTTCTGTTGGAGCATGCTGCATTCCGCCTGGAAGTTGAGGTCATTCTAAGTCAGGGCACCCACTGTAGCAGCTTGTTCGAAAAAGCACCCTGAACCTTAGCACTAGAGCCTCTAACTCTGCAACCTTAAACTTCAAGCACCACATAATTCCATGGGAGAAAGCCTAACCGCAAGCCCTACACTTTTAACCCCGAGCTCTGAAGCTTTGACCCTAACCATGAGCCCTGCAACCCCAAACCATGCGAGAAAGCCTAGATCCTTGCAGGGGTTGTGCGTGATGTCCCCTGAATTCCACACCCTTCACGCATTACGTGGGAGAACCCACAGACCTCTTGTGGGCATCTTCGGGGTGTAGCTACTGTTGAGAGTTTGGGGTTTCAGGGATTAGGTTTATGTAGGGTTGAGGGAACAGGGGTTGTCATGTAATACCTGTACATCATCCCAGTGTAGAGGCTTCGGGTGTCCGAGGAAGGCCCCTGAGCCCTCAGCGTAACATGTAGATATTTCTCCAAACTAGTTTCCTTTTTATATAGGGGCCTTAAAACCCTAAACCCCAATTTAGAGAACTACCCGTGTAGAAGCATGAAGACTGCTTGGCAGTTGCATCTCCCGCGCCGCAGGTGCCGGGGGGCTCTGGGTTTGGGGTCTTCGGTTTTTAGGGATTTTGGGTTTTTTCTTACATTTGGTTAGTAGGGAATGGAAGAATGGCAGTAATAGTAGCTATAATTGTAGTAATATGGTAGTAATATAATAGTAACATGATAGTTATATGGTAGTATTAGTAATTGTAATTGTGCCCCATTCCTCCATTCCCTACTAACCAAAGGTAAGTTTTTGGTGTTGGGAGCTACGGTTTTGGGGTTGCGAGGGGTACCCAGAGAGCCCCATACCCCTTAGTTAAGGAACATAGCCTAAATCATAATATGAATGCCCTTCTAATTTAAAGTATATGCCTTAATTCAGGCAGGAATATAGCTTAAACCATAATATGAGCACCCTTATAATTTAAGGTATATTCCTTAATGAAGCGGTATTGGGCTCTCTGGGTGGCTTCAAGTCAAGATTGGGAGTTCCTTCACCCGGTGCTTGAGGCAGCATTTCAGTTTGGAGGGTTGCTATAGGGGCCTAAGTAAATACTTACCCGTACTATTTTGGGGTTTCCTTATTAAACTATAGTATAATGCACCCCCAAGCCCAATTCTAATTGTAAGGCCCCCAAAATTAGGTGACGGCCGACTCCAACCCTAACAGCACAACCTGTAGGCTTAAGAGCCATGCCAACCCTGCAGTTCACGGTCTGGATTAATGTAAAGGCCGCTAGGTTTTAGGGTTTAGGGTTTAGTTTCCCAAGGTTTGCATTTTATACATGTACGATCGGATTGCCCCCAAAGCCCTTTGTCTGATTCTCAATGCCCCGGTTTTAAACCGCTAAACTGTTATAGAATCCCGAAAGAAATTTTGTAGTACTCTCTGAAGGAGCCCAGTTCTCACTGCCCTAAACCCTAAACCCTAAACCCTAAACCCTAAGCCCTAAGCCCTAAAACCCTAAACCCTAAACCTTTAAATCCCCCGATGTTGGGATTGTCGAGCCTAGGGACCTGGGGATGTGGGCTCAGGGAAACCTGGAGGCTGAGGCTTTGTTGTTTAGGGTTTGGGGTTCTAGGGTTCTAGGGGTTTAGTGTTTTAGGGTTTAGGGTTTAGGGTCTAGGGTTTAGGGTTTAGGGTTTAGGGTTTAGGGTTCTAGGGTTCTAGGGTTCTAGGGTTTAGGGTTGCTTCCATCCGCGTGGATCTCGTGTTTAATCCATGCATTGAAGGCTTCGGTTTCAACACGGAGGCTGCTTCTACCCTGAAATCCGATTCCAGCCATGTTCAGCCCTTCCGTGAACACCTCTAGGATGACCTGACACTTCTACTGGCTAGTCCTGCATCTCACGAAATTCAGTAAACAGGGTGGTTGCCGGGATAATGTTCGATGTCGTATGTCCGTTAGTAGTAGCAGGTGGAGGAGCGGGAGTAGGAGGAGGAGAAGGAGGAGAAATAGTCGTCGTAGATGTGGTAGTACGGCTCGTAGTAGTAAGTACGACTATTATCATGCAAGTTCATGTTTTTATGGTGTGGGTGGTGGCGTTTCTCGTTGTTGTGACCATCCAAAGCCTTGTGCCATAATCTTAGGACTCCTGTATTGCCCATGGAGCCCTTGTATGAATATCTGAATCTTTGGTAAGCGAAAAGCCCCAATAATAGACCAAAGTTTAACCTAAACGCGCGCCGGCCCTGGATCGGCTCATCCAGCGAAGCAGGTAGGACGCAGCTCCAACCCCCGGTTGCTTCCTGACAACACAGCGATATGGCGCGAGCTTGCTTGGCCGCCGCAGCCGCGGGCGTTGTGGGGTGCCGCTGCAGGGGATTTGGGTTTGGAGCCAAGGAGGTTGGATTAAGGATTGAAGTAGGCTGGATGAGAATTCCAGGGTTCTGATGATTTCGTCCAGGCGGTTTCTTGAGGCTGGCTTCAGGGCTGCTGAGTTTAACTGAATGGGCCACTACGACTGCTACTGCTACTGCAACTACGACGACGACATCTACTTGCTACCATCAGTACTAGCACAACGACGACAACAGCGACCACAACAACAACAACAGCAACAACTGCAACTGCTGCTGCTGCTACTACTACTACTACGACGACGACTACTACTACTGCTACGACGAATACTTCTATTACGGCTGCTACTACCGCGGACCACCACCACCACTGCCGCCGCCACCACCACCACCACCACCACCGCAAGTCCGAACGTAGCCCCTGCATCTGTGAGGGTCTCGGCCAGGTTTGTTGCGCTGCCTGCCTTTGTGCCGGCCACGGGATCCCACTCCCAGGTCTGGCATTGTGGCGTTGTGGAACTTGTGTGTGTGTGTGTGTGTGTGCGTGTTCCGGCTCGGCGAGAGATGGTGGATGTGACAGTCATAAACTATCTGCAAGCAAACCCTAAACCCTAAACCCTAAACCCTAAACCCCTAAACCCCTAAACCCTAAAACCCTAGCCCTAAAGCCTAAATCCCTAAACCCTAAAACCCTAAACCCTAAACCCCGAAACCCTAAAACCTTCAAACCCTAAAACCCTAAACCCTAAACCCTAAAACCCTAAACCCTATTCGGAAGCCGAGATGCTGCCACCTTGGCCTTGGCCTTGCGTTTCTCAAGACTCGACACTCTCCCCCAGAAAGAAAGAACTCTGCTGACCTGACGAACACATACTTGGAGGATCAGGGGACTTAGTAAGTAAGGTTATAAGTACCCTAATTGGGGCTATAAGTACTTAAAGGCATAGCTACATGATTTATAACCCTAGTTACTAAGTTCCATGATCCTTTAAGCAGGGCACGTTCAAGCAGCCCTTTTGGTCCTGGTTCGAATGTCTTTCCGTCCCAAAACTTAAGCTTTCATTGCTTTGTCTCAGTTTTGGAGCTGCTTGGAGACCTAAACCCTACAGCATGAGAACTCTTCTAAGACCTTGCGCGGAGCTTTATGCAACGCCACAGGTTCATTTTGCAAGTCCTTCACGAACCCACTAAGCTTCAAGTGACAACCCTGTAAGGACCCCCAAATCCTTGGAGAGCCCTATGAAACCGTTTTGCAGCCCGATAAGAACTCTTACAAGACCATTCAATGCCATTCAAGAACCCAATTAAAGCACTTTGATTTGCTTCAACCCTAAGCTTTAGGCCCCTAAACTCCTAAGCCCCTAAACCCCTTAACCCTTTAAATTAACACCGAAACCCGAAACCCAAAATCCTAACCCTGAAACCCGAAACCCTGAAAGCTTGAAACGCTGAACCTAAAACAACCACGCCCTAAAGCCTGAAGCGCGCAACCGCGATCAAATAAATTTACTTTGGCAGTTTCTGTTGGTGGCCCCAACATGAATCATCCTGGTAAGGAACTTTCCGTGTGCAGCAGCAGTGAGAAACGGAGCCCTCAGACAAAAAAGGAAAAGCCTAAACCATAAACCCTAAAATTTCCTTAAACCCTAGAGCCCATAACCGCCAGTTGCCATCCTCGCCTTCTCTCCGGGGGGCTTCGGCTGGCACCAGCAGCTGCTTACTTTAAATCACTTTAAATCCCAAGCGGCGAAAATAATTCCACTGGGATTCGTGTGTGGGTTACCTTAAGAGTTGAAGATGGGACCTGGGGTGTAGATCCGGAGCCTTCAAAGGGGGGGTGCATAGTACCGAATCCTAACTTTCGTATAGGGGCTTAGTGAGAACAGAGATTAGGAAAACGTACAAAATAGACATGTAGGGATCATGAGGAAGGATATTACTACCAAGTATGTTGACGATTGGAACAATTTCTGAACTCGGCATTGGGACCAAACGTTAATGCAAGCAATGTGGGGCTGTCTTCCGTTCCTATCGTTAAGATGAAGAGGGGTGGGAGAGATAAAAGAAGGAGCCGTCCACAATTATTGTCCAACGGCCAAACGTCATACTAAGACGCACTCGCAATTGCACTGTCGCACTCATTTCTGCTTATGCGCCACTCTACGGCAAACCCTCTAAATCCTGAACCCTACCTCAACCCTAAACCCCACAAACACCCAGCACTGGTACTAGAGGGGCCTGAATAGTCACCTATGCTCTTCTGGCAACATCCTTCTTGTAATTAGAGGAGTGTAGTGGGCCCAAAACCCTACTCTAATTACTTAGGCAAGAATCCCTTCAAACGAACCCTTAGTCTAATTATCAAGGGCCCTAAATATAGGCTTCGGTGCCAGCGCCTCAGCAGCTGCAGCCCTGACCACCTTGGCGGTGGGCGCCGCGCTCTGCCGAAAGCCGCAGGTGGCAAAGCAGGCGCCAAAAGTAGAAAGCGGGTTTAGAGTTTAGGGTTTAGGGTTTTAGGGTGTTTGGGTTTGGGGGCAGGAATATCTTTTAGATGGCTTTCCATAATATACATATTATACTCGTACTGTGATGTGCCTCAAAACTCTACTCTAATCAGGCTCGGTACAGGGTATAGGGTTCTGTCGAGACTAGATGCTAGATCCCTTTCGGGGTGTAGGGTAGATAAATATTCAGGGTTTAGGTTTACGGGTGTAGCGTAGATCTCGTGTGCTGTTGCGGGTATATAAAGGGTTTTTAAGTTTTAGGATAGATCCTTTATGGGTTCTGTCATCCGCAAAATCTAAAGACCTAAAGCCCCAAAGCCCCAAACCCAGTCCAATCCTCCTTAACACCAACAATCGTACTAAGCCATGTGATTGCAGTCGGCTTTTGTTCTGATGATAGCCCCCCAAACATTTGGGAAGATCTCATCCGCTAAAGCTCGAATTCAGGGAGTTTCTTCGAGGAGCCTATTTATGTACTGTTTTGGGGGAGTTAACGGGTTCAGAGGTTGTACGGCCTTGGCGTTTTGCGGTTGAAGCTTCAAAGGGACACTTGAAGGTTTGGGTCTATATAAGTCTAAGTCTGAGTGCTTCGGGACCGGACACCTCTCCACCCCAAGAGTTTAGGGTTTAGGGTTTAGGGATTCAGGCCGGGCGCCGTGAGCTGGCAGTTGCCTATGAGGACTCCGGCATCGACCTCCTCGACAACGGTGGCTTGGGATGCAGGGATGGAAAGAACCCGGAACCCCCAAAGGCCGCCCAAAAGCGAAACCCTGAGACCCTACAAAAAAAAACCCTTCCAGTACCCTTGTAGGAACCCTTCAAGGGAGCCCTTAACGGAGCCCTTATACCTAGGAACCACCCAGACTCCCTTGCAGGAGCCCCCAAAGATCCAACACGCCGGATCCAGGAAAGTTCGCCCAGGGTCTCGTCGGAGCCGAGGGCGCCCTTGGGCAGCAACCCCTGGGACTTGAAGTTCAGGGGGCAATGAAAGGAAAGTCAGGGTGTAGGGTCCTTTTCTGACGGGGCTTAGAGTTTAGGGTTGCTGCTTTAGGGCTTGGGATTCTTGTATCAAAACTGTGTTAAAGGTGCAAGAATCAGGAAACCCCGCTTCCTTTTGCAGATTCCTATTATGGTAACTTTATGTAAATCTCTTAGCAAGGGCTCAGTATAGGGCTTATGTAGGGCTGTGTAGCACTTCTTGATTCAGATTTGTTGCAGGGTTTTTCTGAGGCTGTACAGGGTTATCATCGGGCTCTATGCTTTTTGTTGTCTAGTGGCCTTCACAATTAGAAGCAGGTTAGGGCGTGCTAAGTAGAACAATGAACCGTATCCGGGCGAGGAAGCCGCGCCTCCAAAGAGGCGCAAAGTGATCTTTGGGAACGCCAAAGTCCTGCTCATGGCCTCGATAGCTGAGGCCGACAAGGCGAATTGGCAGAGCTTGGCCAGTCGCCTCTCCGAAGCGCACGGAGCAGGTGCGGTCTCGAACAGACTGCTCAAGAAGAACGAAGGAAACTCGCCCTTCTTTCCGCAGAGCAGGAGGAATACCTCTTGGGCCTCTCGCCCGAGCTTCGCAGACTCGAGGAGCTTAATCCGGTGGGGCATCGTCAGGGCGTGCCCCTGCTTACTACGAAGCGAGTAGTCTAACTCATGTATCAACCCCTGAAATACTCAATCAACCGACAGCCCTGCAGACAACCCGAAACCCTAAACCCTGAACCCGAAACCCTAAACCCTAAACCCCAAGACCTTGCTCCCCGAAGCTGAAATCCTAAAGCCCGTAAACTAATAAACCCCAAACCCTCGATCCCTAAAATCCTTAGGACCTACAACCATAAAGCCCTAAGCCCTAAACCCTCTGATCGAAGATCCGGAAGCCCGACCACCTTGGGCCAAAGAGTCAGGGCCAAGTAAGGTTTGGGGATTATAGCTTAGGGCATAGGGGTTTAGGGGTTGAGGGTTTAGGGTTTAGGGTTGTTAGGGTTGAGGGTTAGAAACCGTAAGACTTTCTACCGATTGCATCTCCCTGGTAAGATAGTCAAGAAGGGGACTTTGGAATCGATACACATCTTTCACTGGCAGGTGTGCATGTGACAATGTGGTTTGGGGGAATGCGTTCCCACTCCCACCCGTACCGAAGCTAAGCCGATCCAGCTTAAGCCAAGCCCCGCCAGGCACCAGTAGGCTTTAGTCGAGCTAGCCAGAAGCGGGCGCAGCGGGCCCACCGACAACCAGATCACAACAGAAAAAGCTACAACATTGAAACGCACCTAAGAAACACAACAGCAAAGACCCAAGAATCACACAACCAAGACCGAAGAGGGAGACTCTGTGTGAGGACCGGCCTGACTTCGGAACTCAACTCGCCATGCTTAGGGCTTATGGGTCTAGGGTTTAGGCTTTAGTGCTTGTGGGTTTAGGGGTTAGGGGATGAGTTCCCTCAACCCTAAACCCGAAACCCTAAGCACAAGAGCCGTTTGGCAAGGCGTGGGGACGTTTTGAGTTCGACCCCCTCGGCTTCTCGACGAAGACGGAGGTCGCGCGGGAGTGGAGCTGCCTTTTGGGGTTTAGTCTTTTGGGGTTTAGGGTTTAGGGTTCAGGGTTTCGGGTTTAGGGTTTAGGGGTCCAGGGTGTAGGGTTTGGGGCTTATGATGGGGTGCCGTTCTGTCCTTGCTTGCGCAGTCTTGAACCCTAAACCTGAAACGAGCAAAACCCTTAACACCTAAAGCCTGGTGTCTGTGTTTCATGCCAAAGGAAGCCTAGTAGCACCCTGAAGTTAAAGTGGAAACCCTAAACCCTAAACCCTAAAAGGTCTGACAGGGGTCAGGAGCTCCGCCGATTGCACACTGTCGTCATAGGTGCCTGATCTGGGGGCCTGGATAATTGGAGCATGGTTTTGGAGGTATATAGTGATACCATGCCTGCATTAAGAAATATACGGGGGTAGAATTGGTAAGTATTCACGCTCTTCTACTAGTATGATGATACTTGCTGTGTTGTTGTTAGCATGTGTATATCTCTGTCCGGGCTTGTCCCGGGGCCCATCCTCTCCAATCAATCAGAACCCCTCTTCGTTTCGATTTCTTCGCATATCCAACTCTGTCCAAATCCCGCTGCAAAGACCCAAAGTCTTGCAACCTTGAACCTTGCAGGCTCAGCCTCAAGCACACTGTCGTCATAGTTCCTGGTGCTGTCGCTTGTTTGTCTGTTTGTGATGGCGATGTTACTCATCATTCCCATGACTGCTAAGTAGACTATTATTATTATACCAAGCAGATTGATCTCTTTTTAAAATTTAGTTCCCGACCAATTGTCGATGCCGGTTGCTCATGAAGCGAAGTCAAAATAGGGTCTTGGGGTATATTATGGTGCAGCTATGATCAGGAGCACCCAGAAATAATGTTGGTAAATATTCAGGCTTTCATACTAGGGTTAGGGATATATGGGTTAGGGTGTGGCGCAGACTACCACCACCACAACGACGGCCTTCCACTATGGCTGCAGCTCGGACTGCGACGCCGACTGCGACGACAGCAACTAAAACTACAAGTGCAACTACAACTAGAACTACAACGACGACCGCTACCGCTCTTCCTGTCGCAGTTGCTATTCTCGGGTGAAATCAGTTTTGCTTCCTCTGATTGTTGTTGGTATAATACATGTACCCATCCATCCTTGTCCTATTCCTACAGTATTCTCAATACGCACCAACACTTCATTGACAAACGTGAAGTGGAGCTCAGCGGAGGAGTTTCAGCAGCGTCTGATTTGGGTAACAGATTGGGAGCTAGGTAAACTTCCGAAAACCAAATCCAGGGCTATAGCAGAAGCCAGAAAGTTGGAACCTGGCTTCAGGCGTTTTAGTGCTAGGATCCCTTATACTTACCTTATGGGCACGAGGATAATCATGTTCCAACTCTGGCTTCTACTATACAGGTTTTAGAGTTCAGGAGTCTTGGATCTTCAGGTTTTAATGTCGGGGTTAAGTCTACGACATTTACAGGTGGGTAGTTAAAAGGTGGGTAGTTTCCCATAAGCCTCCCATACCACTCTTATAAGGTAAAGGGGGTCTTATGGGAGTACTATGGAAGAGGAACTACCTACCTGTAAGGGGCTTCTATCAAGGGTTTGATTCGGTGCTCGGGGCTGACTCGTTGAGTTATGCACTGAGTCTCGAGGCATACCCTAAGCTATAGGCCTAAGCCCTCAACGCCTGAATCCCTTTAAAAATGGATCGCGTGAACTCCTAGTTCAACCCTTAAACCCCAAACTCGAATGCAGTTTACAAACTTGTAGAACCATACGAGATCCTTCAAAATTCCCTTATAGAGGCCCTAGAGAGATCTGAACCGTTACCTGAGACTTAGAAAGGCTATCTATCAATACGTTACTGGGGAGTAAGTATAAGTAACCCTAAGCATAGTTACCTTAAAATGCACCAATTTGCTCAGTCCCATGATCCTCCACGTGCAGAGCCTTATGGTGGATGCTATGAATCCTGCATTGCCCATAATGAGAATACACCATAGTTCCCATATTTTTTGGTCCTGAAGGTACTTCAGGATTTATATCATCCCCTAAACCCTAAACCCTAAACCCTACAACCTATAGATCCCATACAGGAGCACCTTCAAGGTATCCTGATAGATCCCCCATAAAGGAACCCCAGGATACCCGACGTGATGGTTTTCAGCGCCTGAGCAGGTGGTGCCCTACCTTCGCGAGGCAGAGTTGAAGTTGCTCGGCCAAGGTTGTGAAGGTTGTTGGGTTTTACGGGCTTCGGGGTGTAGACACTTTTTTCACAATTTAGGGGTTTAGGGGTTTTACGGGTTTCGGGGTGTAGTCTCTGTTTTTCGGGTTTAGGGGTTTAGGGCTTGAGGTTTGGGTTTGGGCAATGTTGTCTCCTTCGTTGTTTTCGGTTTTCCAGGTTTGTTTTGGTGCTGTTGCCATTTTTTTATGTGCTTTCGGTCGTAGGGTGTTCAGGAGATGTCTAGCGTAGGAGGTTTCAGGACGGTCTGGCGTAGGGTTTGTTTAGGGTTTAGGGTTGGGCTGATCCCGAGTAGAAGGTTTTGCAGACCAGAGGGATTAGGGTTCAGGTTAGAAGGGGCCCCCACCCTATAATAGTGGTATAATCGGAATATAATAGGGCCCTAATGTAATCCTTATAGTCACTATTACAGGGTGGGGACCCCTTCTAAGGTTCAGGGCAATCGGTCTAGGGGCCTCGTGATTTGATGGTCCGCTAGCTGCTCTGCTATCCTTACAAGTCCCCTAAACTCTGAACCCTAAACCATGAGCCCTAAACCTGCCCTGCTTCTGATCCTAACGGCAACAACCGAACCCTAAACCCTAAACCCTAAACCCTAAACCCTAAACCCTAAACCCTAAACCCTAACGGTTCTTCTTCTGCATGTTTCCGGCTTGCCGACAAGTCGTAAACGAACCGGAAGCGTGAGCCCCAAAAGTGATACTATGGGGGGGGGGGGGGGGATAATTACCTATACTATTTTGGGGGTTCCTTGTAATTAATTACAGTATAATGGGCCCCGAAACCCTATTCCACTAATTAAGGCCCTTGTACTGGGCTTAGATTGCGGTTGCTCAAGCCCCCGGATTGAGATTCAAACGGGGTTAGAGCTTTAGGGTTTAGGGTTTAGGAATCCAGGGTTCAGGGTTCAGGGTTCAGGGGTTTAGGGTTTAGGGTTCAGGGTTTAGGGTTCAGGGTTTAGGGTTTAGGGTTTAGGGACTTTAAAGTCTCCAGTTCACACCTAAAGGTTTCGGCTTTCGGGCAACAAGATAAGGTTGTCGGATTTAGATGTCAGGTTGAGGGTTATGGGCTTGAAGTGTACGGTGGCAAGGCTGCCGACAACCTAGAAGCGTGAACAATTACCAATACTATTCCTTGGGGTTCATAATCATAATTACCATGCACCACCCTCAACTCTAAACCCCTGAACACCTAAACGCTAAACCCTAAACCTAAGCCCTAAGCCCTAAAGCCTTAATTGATTATGAAGGTTTCTGTAATTCGAGGCTCCGGAGTGGAAAGTCCTCAACTCCAAGTCGAAACTTGTACATTGGTTATAGCATGGTGTACTATATTACAGAGTAGAATAGCCATGTATCAGAGCAGTAGTATAGTCTGTGATGACATAGTATGTCATAGCATGGTACTTTGTTCGTATCATGGTCCAGTAACCTGCGGGGAACCCGAAGCGGGTTTAAATCCCGCCAGGGGGACCACAGTTGCCCTGAAGCCCCAAACCCATCTTGGCCGAAGGTACAAATCGGGCCCTTGCTTCACGGTAGGCGTTCAAAAACAAACCGAAACCCTCAAACCCTCATAAACCCGAAAAGCAGTCATTTGATGACAGAGGCATGGTCGCATCGCAATGCTGGCCTGGCTGGGAATGGTGGTGCCAGACGTCTGGCAGAAAAACGGTTTAGGGTTTCGGTTTGGGGCAGAGGGGGTGTTCCTGCTGCCTGTTGCTACAACAAGACAGAAAAGCGTCTCTTGACACATGGTGGTTGCAAGAGCGGGCTGTCAGTATCTGAGCTTAGGCCTATTTCCTATAGTCCTACAGGGAGGTAGTTTAGGTGGGGTGAACGGAGGTGTGGGATTGCTGAATGTCCAACGGCACCGAAAAGCCCGACATATCTACTTGCGTCGCTTTCGTTGTTGCTGCGTGACATCACAGCAGACCGCTATCTCCACGCATGTACCCGACCCCTAAATCCTAAACCACAAAACCCTCCAGCATTCTAGATCTCTCTTCTTAATATAGTACTTAGCCTTGACGTACCTAAGCCCAAAGCCCCTAGACCCCAAAACCCCCAAACCCCCTAAACCCCTAAACCCTAAACCCCTAGACCCCTAAACCCCTAAACCCCTAAACCCTAAACCCCTAAACCCCTAAACCCTAAACCCCTAGACCCCTAAACCCCTAAACCCCTAAACCCAGAGCTTGAAGCCCAGGACTTCGTTCGCCTCCCGGGTGAGAAGTTCTCCTTCGAAGCGGTGCCGGCACCTTGATGACGAATAGAATCCTATTTTTTTTCAGGGAGGGGCTTGGGTTTAAAGCGAAATCAGGGCTAGTATAAGGGTTGTTCTAGGCTTACTTTATTACTATAAGGATTGCGATGGTCATTCTTTTCTTGTTCTTGCTTACTTTGACGATAACGAACGGTGGTATTGTTGAGCTTACGATGATGACCGTTGTCTTGATTGCCCTGGATACTGTCAGTGTACGTAGTGATACTGTGTATGACTACGCCCAGTATCATTGCCATTCTAACGCGTTTTTGCCTTCGGCGCGTTTGCAATCTTGGATTGAAACTTATGTTGGTTCTTACCCTCAGGCAAACTGTGGCAGGACACTTTTTGTCCTCGGTGTGGAACTGTCCTCGGTGAGGTTACTGGGGTTCCTATGGCAGTATCACTAGCAGATACATATGGTAGCAAACTACAGGGGCTTAACACTCAACAAGAGATTCTTGAAAGCTGAAGCGTGCCGTACAACTTCGTCCGGGTCCCGGATATTGAGCGCCAATTTCCTTGAATTACATGCTCCAGATGCGATTATTGAGCCTAGGGCCCCATAGCTTGGGTTTCGGCTCTGCTGCCACGAGGCCCGAGCTTGCCCTGAACCCGAAACCTGTATGGCCCTAAACCCGTCTGAAACAAACGTTGTGTGGGAGTTTCCAAAAATAGGGGACCCTAATAGAGGACCCTAAATAGTAGGATCCTTACAATAAGGACCCCAAAACAGGGTACCGTAATTTTCGGAAACTCCCGTGTAGCCCCTGCAAGTCCCTGTAAACAGACGGCTTGTGGGCCCCTGCGGCACTTAGGTGAGCATCGATGCGCACGAGGCCTTCCGTGGTGCGACGGGAGTGAATGCCCAGGCAGAACTCGGTTTTCTATCGGGTTGTAGCTCTTGTTTAAAGGGTTCAAAGGAATTGCTCATGGGGTATTTAGGCAGCGCTTACTGGGTTTCTTTGTTCTATAGCTGTAGGCTTCAGGAAGCCAGCCTTTTAAGCCTGACCCTGTGAGCTTACCTCACATGAACATGACACCTCTTCTAGGGGCGCTTACATCCGAAATTTGGGATCACCATGTTTAGGAAGTTTCTTGGGGGCACTTAGAAGCACTGCTCGAGGAGTTTTCCCCAGATTCTCAGCACATAATGACACGACTGTCACCAAAAGACGAGAGTCGGCCGTGGTTTGGGTTCAGGTTTAGGGGCTTAGGGTTTAGGACTTAGGGTTCAATTTTTTTCAAACTTTTAGGGTCTCGGGCTTTTGATTTTTAACGGGATGCGGGGGGTCTTTTGCGGGGACCAGGATGTTGAGTTGTGGTGCCGCCCTAAACACCAAACTCTAAGCCTTGTTCGTGGTCTGTCCGTGTGCATGGGCAGTGAACGTTTATGATTCAATGTTGAAGGCCACCAAGCACTCCAAAAGCTCTAAGCCCTAACACCCCAACATCTCTTGTAATTGAAGCTGCGAAGGGTCAGATGGCTTAGCAAGCTACCCTCGATGTAGCCTGGAAGCCCATGGGCCTAGAGGCCTGCAGTGCTGTAGTTTCCCAATCCATCGAGCAAAGCTAGGGTTTAGGTTTACGAAGTCCCAAGTCCGTAGCCTGAGGTCGAGGCTTGTCACACCTCGAACACCCCGGGGTTCAAAAACTCCAAACCAAACCCTTGCATCTAAAACTGCTGGCCCCAACCCGGAAACCTAGACCCTTAACCTTGCAGACAGGGAAACCAGGGAGGCCCCCAAGTGGCAGTTTTGCGTCTACCGGGCTTCCCCTCCCTAACCTTCAAACCCCCAACCCAGAAACTGCGAGCACAGAGCCTGAAAACCTCATGCACCGCAATCCTGGCCTCGAACTCCTGGCATCCTAAGCCCTAAGCCCCAGACCCTAAACCCTAAACCGCTCCAGATCCTCTTCTGGGTGCCTTGGCAAGCTTTGTGGGCTTCCAGGCTTTCAGGGCTTCAAGGTGAGGGCTTGTCCTGGGTTTACTTGGTACTTAATTGGGGTTATAAGTAGTTATAAGTATAGCTACCTTCATTATAACCTTAGTTACTAAGTCCCATGGTCCTTTAAGTAGGGTTAGGGTTTAGGGTTTAGGGGCTTAGGGTTTAGCGCTGGAGTTTTTCAGGTGCTGGGGATTTAGCTGTACGGCTTTGAAGGCTTTGTGGCGCCGAAACCCTAAGCCCCAGCAATTCTAAAACCCTAAAGCCCAAAAACCTAAACCCTGAAACCCCAAACCCTAAAGCCCCAAGGCCCTGAATTCCTAAACCCTAAAGCCCTAAAGCCCTCCTTGAAAGCCGAAAAACCTCCAAACCCCAAACCCCAATCCTTGGATTTTCCAGACTGTTTCGGGCAGTTTTAGGGTTTACGTAGGGTTGAGGGTTTTTTGGTTTGGGGTTTAGGATTTGGGATTTAGGGTTCAGGGGTTAGGATTTAGGGTTTAGGGTTTGGGATTTAGGGTTAAGGGTTAGGATTTAGGGTTTAGGGTTTAGGATTTCGGGTTTACGTCGGGTTTAGGATGAATTCCTAGCCCTTAATCCTCGAAGCCCAAGCCCTGGACCCTAAACCCTACCCCATCAACCTCCCGAAGCCCGAAAGACTAAGCTCCAAACCGTAAGACCCCAAACCACGAGCCTTCTGCCCTAAACCGTTAACCCACCGCCCTCACGTTAAGACCCCCCTAAACCCTGAGCCCTGAACCCCGAAAGCTTTGATTCCTAGTTAGAGCTCCCTTGATGCTGAGATTTCCATCGTGGAGTTCTGCTGCGCTAAGAAGGTCTTCGAGTGGAACTCCCTTGAGGTGGGTAGTTGGCTTAATCTAGGGCTTAGGGCCTGGAGTTTCAGGGTTTTTAGGGGGGGGGTTAGGGTTTAGGGTTTTGGGGCTTTTAGGGCTTTTCGGGGTTTTAGTGGTTTTAGGGTTTAGGGTCTTTTGGGGTTTCGTTTGTGTTGTTGGTGGTTTGGGGTTGTCTGGATTTGAGTATCCGGGTCACTGAATTAAATAACAATGGTTTCAGCAGTCGGTGTTTAGCGGTTTCATAGGGCCCGGTTCAAGGACCTTTGCGGATGTACTTAAAGGATCATGGGAGTTAGTAACTAGGAGTATGAATAAGGTAACTATACTTATAACTTATAATCAGTTATAACCCCAAGTAGGGTACTTGTAGCCTTACTTTCTAAATCCCCTGACCCTCCAAGTAGGCATCGGGACGATTAGGATTCGCGGGCTAGGGGGGGTCTAGGCCAATTTTTGGGCCCCGGGGTGTCTTTGCAGTGTGTCTGCACCAAAGAACCTCTGAGGGGGCAAGGGTTCATGCTGTGCGGTCTCTAGACCCAAGGCTCCGAAACTCTAAGCCCCAGAACACCAGCAGTAGGCCGAAACTCAACACCCGTGCTTTAGGCCCTGGTTCCTGATCCCGAGCCCCCCAAACAACTCCAACTTCTAAACCTGAATCTCCCTATTTGTCATGGAGCCTGAGTAGGTCGCCATAGTATTCCAGTGCAGCACCTAGGGGCTGACAATTTCCCGCTCATCAAGTTTCATCAAGTTTTGGAGTTTCGGGTGGGCAAGATGGAGTCAGCACTTACAGGCTTCTCGCATTCTGGGCGCCCGGCGCCCTGAACGGAACTCGACGTCGGAAAAATACCTGTTTAAGGTTGCGGATGTTTAGGGTTCCCTAAACCCTTCGACCCTAAACCCTAAATCCCTAAAGCCCTAAACCCTAACACCCCCAAAGCCCTAAACCTCAAGATGTGATGTAGGTCGCCGGCGATTACGGCTTGACCAACTGGTTCCCGAGCGACGAGGAGGGCCAGAAGAGGACCCAAGAGCTTAAAGGGGAAAACTTTCAAAGACAAGGTTTTAGGGGTTGGGCTTGTAGTGTACTTTGGGGTTGAGGGTTTATGCTTTTAGGGTTTTAGGGTTTGGATTTAGGGTGTTAGGGTTTAAAGGTTTCAAGGTTTAGGGATTTATGGTTCAAGGTTTCTAAGCTTTAGAGAGCAGGTTTCCAAACCCCGTAGACGCAGGCCCTGGCGCAACATCCTAAAGCTCGAGACCCAAGTGCTTACTGGTGCTGCTACCACCACCACCACCACGACTATGACGACGACTACTCCTCCTGCTACTACTCCTGCTCCTACTCCTACTCTCCTACTCCTCCTCCCCCTCCTCCTCCTCCTCCTCCTACTACTACTACTACTACTACTACTACTACCACTACCACTACCACTACCACTACCACTACCACTACCACTACCACTACCACTACCACTACTACTACTACTACTACTACTACTACTACTACTACTACTACTACTACTACTACTACTACTACTACTACTACTACTACGACTACGACTACGACTACGACTACGACTACGACTACTACTACTACTACTACTACTACTACTACTACTACTACTACTACTACTACTACCAGTACTACTAGTAGCAGCACCGCCACCGCCACCTCTGCCAGCAAAACCCACCGGCCCGAAACCCTAAACCTTAAAACCCATGGCATACCCCAAAAGCCCTATGTCCTGTTAAGAGCCCGTAACCCCAAACCCCACAAGGAAAAAGGGCCTTGAAAAAAAACCCTACAAGCCCTGAAGCCTAGTCTGCAGGATGCGTCTTGCCGAGCTGAAGAACGGCCGCCTGGCGATGCTGGCGTTTGCAGGGGCTGCCCTTTGGCCGCTCTTACTGGTGCTCCGGGTTTCGGGATGTGGAGTTTGGGTCCAAAGTCTTTTTAGCGTTTAAGGTTCGGGGTTTGGGGTTTACGGTCTATGAGCGCTGGGTTTAGGGTTTAGGGTCGGGCGGAGCGGAGTTCGGGGGTCAGAGTTTGAGAGGTCTGGGTCTTACACTTGCTTTGACGGGTCTCGCAGAAACATAGCAAGTAAGTAGAGTCATGGTCGGCAGCTTAATTCTCCAAGGGGAAAAGGAGGGACCCTTAATAAGGACCCCTAGGTATAGTATATACCCTTTAAAAGGCTATTATATAGCCCTTATATCGCCCATTATAGGGTTGGGGTCCCCATTAAGGGTCCCTCCTTTTCCCCTTTGCACAACCTTAATCAGGTTCCTACCCTTATAGATCCCATATAGTAACCCCATATAGATCCCTTTAAAGGAACCCGAATAAAGGGCCTAGGGTCCCTCCTTGTCCCCTTTGAAACTCTCTCCGCCCCCATCCGAAGCTTCTTCGGCAGCCCTAAACCCTACACCCTAACCCTAAACCCTAAACCCTAAAGCCAAAACCCTAAACCCTAAACCCTGAATCCTAAACCCTGACCCCATCCGAAGCTTCTTCGGAGTCGTCGCATGGGTTTGGAGTTCGGGCCGAGGGTTGGCCGGTTTCTTGGAACTCCGCATCATCTCAAGTAGCATATTTAGGGCTCAGGGTTTAGGGTTTAGGGGTTTAGGGGATTAGGGTTTAGGGTTTAGTGATCTAGCGTTTTAGGGCTTAGGGTTTAGGGTTTAGGGTTAGGGTTTAAGGGGTTTAGGGTTTAGGGAGTCATGCCCCGAGGACGAGTTTGAAGCCAAACTTGGAGGATTAGGGGACTTAGAAAGTAAGGTTATAAGTACCCTAATTGGGGTTATAACTAATTATGTACAACTATAGTCAGTATAGTTACCTTATTCATATCCCTGGTTACTAAGTCCCATGATCCTGTATAAGTCCTGCAGCTGAGGTCACGCAGGCCGCCCTGACTCGTCATCCTTTCCCTTGGCTCTACTGAGAGGTGGAGGCATTTTGGGCCTAGCACGCGCGGCATGATGGTGCCCGGAGTTGAAGAAGCTCCTCACCATGAAGGTCGGAGTCTTAGGGCTTCTGAAGAAGCCCCCACGAAACCCATCGAATTCTTAGCCATCCCCCGAATCCCTACACCGCCCCGGGCACCATTCTGGCTTTTTAACATCTGGCCGTCGCACGTCTTTGTAGCGTTCCGGAGAAGGCTCGATTCCGCGAGATCAGAGCGCCGGGGCAACAAAAAGATCGGTAATACAGGGGCCTCAATAATTACCTACACTATTTTGGGGGGTTTCCTTATTCTAATAATAGTGTAATGGTCCCCAAAACCCTATTCTCATTATTAAGGCCCCTATAGTATTTCCGAAGTCCAGGATTTTAGGATTTCGACTTCCCGGGCTTCGAGTTCCCAGGATTTTCTCGGTTGGGGGTTTCGGGTTTAGTGGCCGGGAGTTTCAGATTGCAAGGACAACAGGGAGCCTTCAGCAGCATGCTTCCGTTTTGCTGGCTTCCCGAGTTTTTCATCCCCCGCCCACGTGGAGGATCAGGGGGCTTACTAAGTAAGGTTATGGTGCCTTAACCGGGCTATAAGCAATTATAAGTATCATGGGTTTCGTTTTGGCCCTAGCTGGCATTTAGGGCTTTAGGGTGTAGGGTTTAAGAATTTCGGGTTTAGGTTTCCAAACCCTAGTCCGAACAAGCTACACCCGAATTCTGCATTGCTCTCATTGTTTTGGTCAGACTTTCGAAGCTCTGAACCCTGAAACCTAAACTCCTAAACCCGAAACCCCTATTTGGAGGATCAGGGGACTTAGTAAGTAAGGTTACAAGTACCCTACTTGGTGTTATAAGTACAGTTACCTTAGTTATAACCCTAGTTACTACCTTCCATGATCCTTTAAGTAAAACCCTAAACCCTAAACCCTATAGATCCCTTTAAGGAGCCCTAGAGATCCCTTTAAGGAACTCCTAAAATCGGTCCCAGGGGCGGAGAATCTACCCAGCGCGCTCGGAGCTGGTTTTGCCGGCAGCATTGCTAGCCGATAGCAACGCAGGGTGGGGCTCGGGATGAACTTTGGTTCAAAGTTTTGTTAGGGTTTCGGGTTCAGAGTTTGGGGTTCAGGGGGTTTTGCATCAGGGATTAGGATTGAGGGCGAAGGAAAGGGGTTGTTGTTGGAATGTGTCGCCTTCGGAAAGGACATCTGTGCATGTAGGTTTTCTGCATTGCGCTGAGGATGTAGCTTGTGTAGCTTGGTTCGGATGCAGGATCCACTGTGGTGTGTGGTGGTCCTCCCTTCAAGAACCCGTCCCTACTACACGCTACCATGTATAAGCTGAGAGAAGGATCCTGAGCAATATCGGACCGTCAACAACTACTGCAATCCTCTTCGCATCTCGTCCATGTATTCGTATAGTATCATGCACCTTAAGCCCTAACCTAAGTCCTTACTCCGCTCATTTAGGTGCTGCCTTTTTCTTCTGCTGCTACCTGACCTGTTTCCTCAGCAACATCGAGCATCTGCAGTAGCAGCATCAGCAGCATGAATCCGACCTTTCATCTTCATGCTTCATGGCCTGCTTGATTTATTGGCAGCTAGTCAATCTAGTTACTAAGCTCGTGGGGACTGGGGGCCTACTTCGATTGCATGATGGTAAATCACCAGCTACCTAATCCCTAGACTCTACATCCTAAGCCGTAAACCCCTAAACCCTAAACCCCTAAACCCCTAAACCCTTAGCCCTAAACCCTAAACCCCTAAACCCTAAACCCTAAACCCTAAACCCTAAACCCTAACCCCTTAATCCCCAAACCCCTAAACCCTAATCCCTTAAGCCCTAAACCCTAATCCCCCAAATCCTTAGACCCTAATCCCCTCTACATCCTAAGCCGTAAACCCCTAAACCCTAAACCCTAAACCCCTAAACCCCTAAACCCTTAGCCCTAAACCCTAAACCCCGAAACCCTAAACCCTAACCCCTTAATCCCCAAACCCCTAAACCCTAATCCCTTAAGCCCTAAACCCTAATCCCCTAAATCCCTAGACCCTAATCCCCTCTACATCCTAAGCCGTAAACCCCTAAACCCTAAACCCCTAAACCCCTAAACCCTGATCCCTTAAACCCTAAACCCTAATCCCTTGAGCCCTAAGCCCTAAACTGTAATCCCCGTACATACTCATCAACTCAGTCATAGCAAGTCACTCCGCGCGATGATTGCAGCCCCAGTTCCGAGACCGCGCGCACTCAAGGTTAAGGGTTTAGGCTTTCTTTAAGGACGAAAAGGGATCTATAAGGCCACTACAAGGGTTTTAGGGTGGTTTGGAGTTTGCTTAGTGTTTCAAGGTTTGGTGCTTAAAGGTTTACGGTTCGAGGCTTTGGGTTTTCAGGCTTAGGTTAAGGCTTTTAGGATTTGTGTCTGAGGGTTTCAGGGCTCACGGTTGACCGGTTTGGTCTTGCCGTCGCGATGCTTCATCCAAGCCTGCTTGCGGCACATGCGCGACAGCGACGCTGCCGGGCCAAGCAGCTTTGCTGGTTTGGGGCTTCAGAGGCCAACGCTGAAGTAAGGGGTAGTATAAGGGCCATCAGTAATTTTAGAGTCCCGAAACCCCGATAAAACCTTGAAAGCCAGACATGGAGCCTCGAAATCTTAGGACGCATAGAAGCAGTCGCTGCCAGCCAGCTCCAGGGTTGCTGGGAAGGAACTTGGGGCTTAGGGGTTTAGGGGTTTTTAGGGGTTTAGGGGTTTAGGGGCTTAGGGGTTTAGGGGTTTAGGGGGTTAGGGTTTAGGGTTTAGGGGGGATTAAGGGATTAGGGGCTTAGGGGTTAGGGGGATTAGAGTTTAGGGCTTCGGGCTTAGGGTTTAGGGTCGAAGGCTTCGGGTTGAGGGTTTACGGTGTAGGGTCGAGGGTGTCGGGTTGAGGGTTTAGGGCGTATTGTTTAGGGTTCAGGGGTTTAGGGTTTGGGGCCCGGGCGTGTCGGGTCTAGCCAGGTTGGAGGATCAGGGGACTTAGTAAGTAAGGGTATAAAATACCGTAGTTGGGGTTATAACGGTGATAAGTAATAGACAAGTAGAGTCACCGTATTCATAACCCTAGTTACTAGGTCTTATGATCCTTGAAGTAGGGGGTTTAGGGGGCTTCGGGAGTTCCAGGAACTCTTGGAGTTTAGGGGTCATTTTGAGCATGCACTGATCTATGACGGAGGTCGGGGTGTGGTTTCCCTCAACCCGAAACCCTTGAACCATCGTCCTTAGAAACCCATTACCGCAACGAGTAACCCTTGCAGTTACCCTTACAGAAATCCCCAACGCCCAAACCACCCTCAACCCTAAACCCAAAACCTCAACCCCTGAACCCTAAACCCCTGAACCCTAAACCCTAAACCCCAAACCCAAAACCCTGAACCCTAAAAAAGAGCCGCTCTCCTCCAAAACAAAAACGGAACAAGTCCAAAGTCGATCCGGGCGAGTCTCTCTGATGGGACTGAAGAGTTCCACTGCCCCCCAAGAGTACAAGCTCATTCAGTTATAGGCCCTAAACCCTAAACCCTAAACTCAATCCGTAGCCATTTTGGCTCAAGAAGCTCGGTGTCCCCCTTCGTCTTCTGACATTTCGCTTTTCTGCTTCAGCTCTTCAACTTTCTCACCACGGTATTCCCGACTCCCTACTTATGCAGATGGCCGAGGAAGAACAGTTCCAAGAAGCACTGGCAGAAGAGCAGAGGTCTCAACTTCTGAGAGCTCTCCAAGGGTCAGTCTTCACAAGGACTGGACCTCCTGAGGGGCGACAAGCAGGGACTGGGCAAGAAGTGAGATTCATTGAGCAAGGACCCGAAAGGCCGTCCACAGAAGCAAGAGGAGAAGCAGCAGCCAACTTCAAAGCTCCTGAGTCTCTAGAAGAATGCTCTTCCGTGGACGAGATTGCAAAGTACTTAGCCAGTTACTGGTCCAAGCACAAAGCGCTTCCGGTGGTTGGCGAGGGATCACATCTAGAAAGTGTGCTTCAAAAAGCACTCACAACATTGAGATCTGCTGCGGATCGAATCCCTGCTCTGTCTGACTTCGCTTATGAAGGCAATTTGACGCCAGTGGACTTCCGTGAGTTCTTGGTAGGGTTCGTGGACTTTGAGTTCCAGGAAAAGCAAGGCCTCAAGATCACAAAAAGTCATCCTGGCAAAGAGATCAAGTCAGAGACAGAGTTGGCAATCAGGGCTGCCAAGGCAAAGGTTGCAGAGCTCGAGAAGATCATGGAGCGGAAGGTAAAAGATGAAACGGCCTGCCTGAGCGAGATCAAGAACTTGGAGGAAGCTTCTCTGGAAGGCAAAGACGAAGAGGAAAAGAAGAAACATGAGGAGACCTTGCAAGGCGAGAAAGACGCCTTGGATGGAATTCGCTCGGAGATGGAGACGGTCAAGAAGGAAGTTGAGGAATCACATGACCCAACTTTCATCATCCAGAAAATGGAGGTCCATCTTTCGCAGAAGAAGCTGGAAGTCAATGCGGAAGACTTTGACAGCTACCTCTACGGAGTCCTCATCCTTCTGGCAGGGAACTCCCTCTTCGTCGTGGCTTTCTGCCTCGCATTCTGCCTTGCTGTTCGAGGACCGAAGCGAGCTTCACAAATTGCAAAGGGCACCAGTGGCAAGGCTGCTGGCAGGGGCAAGAAAACAGTGCGGATGAAGGCAAAAGGTCAGGCCTTCATAAGGTCTGTTATGGAAATGGAGGAGAAGATCATGAAAATCTGCGCAGAGGTCACGGGCCGCTCACTTTCGTCGAACACCTTCATAGGGGTTGTCCCGGAGGTCATGATGTCTTTGGGAGAGGACAGCCAGCTTCACGGAGTCTCAACGTTGAGTTTGAATTGGCTCAAGGCCTGAGGTGTGCGAGTGGTCCCTCTGTCGTGGGCGAGCGGGATGGCCAGTGGCCAGATCAGGCTCGGGCAGGGGATGAATGTTCCTGTCCCCACTTCGGAGGATGAAGCGAGTCCAAAGCGTCGCAGGGAAGGGGACGTACCTACAGGGCCACCAGGGTTGTCAGGGGATGCTCAGGTTTCTCTGGATATGAGGGCCATGGAGGTCTTGTTACAGCAGCAGTGTGCGGCAATTGTTGCTGCCAATCGGACCCACCTCGAAACAGCTCTGACGTCCTTAGAGGAGAGAGTGGCGGAGAGGATTAAGAACACCGAAATCCGTCAGGACAATGTTGAGGAAAGGGTTGGGGCTGTCGAAGGGCGTTTGGAGAAAATTGAGCAGCTACTCAGACAACCTGGGGGTAGGCCAACGGCCTCTGCAGGGGACATGGATGATCGTCGGAAGTTCACTCTGGTCTTCGGAGGATGGCGCCAAGATACCCCCCGGAGAACCATAGTTGCTGAGGTCTCGGAAGCCCTCCGCCGCTTGGATGTCGCCCAGCATACGGACTCGGAGCCTTTTACTACGGGGCCTCGCAGGTCAGTGGCCTTGCTGGGGTTCTCTTACCGCCGGGGGGAAGGGTTTTCGGATGTTCGCCAGCGCATGCACAAGGTGCTCATGGGGTTGTCTCAGGCAAAGCCTCTCACGAGCCACAACAAACCCATGTGGTGCTCCTACTCCAAGACTCGTGCAGAAAGGGATGTTTCCAGCCACGCTGGATGGGTTAAGCGGTCCTTAGCCGCTTTGTCAGCGGAAATTGCTCAGGCCCTTGATGTCGAATATGGGACTGGCACGGTCTGGCTTGGGGAAAGCATGCTGGCGAGTGCAACTCGTAGCCCTCCCGACGGGGTTTCCGAGGAGTGCTTCATTCGGGAGGAACACCTTGTGTGTAGGCCGTGGATCGATGTGCAAGCTACTGCCCGGGAGTGTAAAGTTCCTGAGGGGCAAATTCGCCAGGTGCTAGAGGACAACAAACGCTGACCTCTTCATGCCTCCTTTGATTCCCTTGTTTCGCTTGCGGGGGAAGTGGGTACATCGTCTGCTTCAGCTCGGCAATGCCCGCCTCCCTTGCTTCAGATGCGGGTGTTCGGTTGGAACATAGGTGGTGCTCCAGTGGAAGACCTGCCTCGTGCTGTCAAGGAAAACGTAGGGGCCGGGGTTGAGCTCAGGGTAGGGCTGGTTCAGGAGCTTCCCAGAAGACAGGCCGGCTGGTCGTCAACAACACTTGAGGGATTGAGACTGTTGCAACATAGGCATCCTAACCAGTGGCGTGGAGTGGGCATCCTGTTTCAGCCTTCCATCTGGGGAGTGATATCACGGAAAACCTCGCGAAGGGGCATCTGGGTTTTGCTGCGACACTTGGAGTCAGGCCAGGAGATTTGGTTTGGAACGTTGCACCTGCAACCGGGGCTGCCACAGGCTGAGTACCATGCGGATGCTGCTGACTACTTCTCTTGCCTCCCCTCCCATGCTAAACAGGTGGTGTTTCAAGGTGATGTGAATGCCCCCCTCGCATGGGCTAGCTCGGAGGTGGGAGATGTTGCATGTGGGCTAGATGGCAAGGCAATTCTGCTGCTGGATGTGCTCTTTCAGAAAGGGCTCCTTACGGTGCCGCCTTCGTCTGAGCAACAGCACCTTCCGACGAGCAGACCGAGGCAGGTCGGGAGAGAGGGGTCGCGAATTGACCTCTTTGCGTCTCGGGGACTGCTGCAGCAAGGGCTCACGATCTTTGAGGACTCTTGTTTCTCTTTGGGCACTGACCACGAGCTTCAGGAAGGGTGTTTCTCGATTAAGGGACAACGGATCTACCGGAGACCACAAACGAGGGCTAGGGTTTGGACAGGGGGCATCGACAGTGTCGAAGGGCTCAACCAAGCAACTCTCCAGCAGCTGGCCAAGACCTGTACCAAGCCTAAACCGGGCAATTCTTTTCGAGACAGCCACGACACCAAGCTAGCTTTCCGCAGGGCGAGGGTTAGCAAGTCGAAGGAAGCATGGAAAGCAGCACTCATGAGCAGACGAGCTGACAGGAAAAAGTGGGAAGCCGATCGCCTCTTCAGAGCGTCGCAGTGCGACTGGAGCCGCTTCAAGGAGCTCAGGGCTGAGGGTCAAGGCACTGCCTGGGATGAAGGGTTTGCGGACAGCCAAGCCGGGGACCCCCACATGGTGGTTGAATCGTTCCTTTCGAACTTGTACAAAGGTGAAAAGGTGCAGCTGGTAACCGAGCCTCAAGGGGAAGTTCGAGGGTTCACGGTTGAGGAAGTCCGTGTGGCAGTGTCACAGCTGAAGCGAGGCAAATCGGTTGGGAACGACCTCACGGGGAGGGAGCTTTTCGAGGGAATCCTCTCGTTGGATGGCGGCGCTTCGCACCTGGCGGAGTTTTTCACGGGGGTTCTGTGCACAAAAGCTGTTCCTGAAGAATGGAACAAATCCATCCTGATCCTGCTGGCAAAACTGGCCAACCCGACTTTGGCCAAGGATTTAAGACCGATTGCACTTGGAAGTGGAACTTCGAAACTCTTTTCACGGCTCTTGATAAATCGTTGCCTTCCCCTGTTGGGGGCAAAGTCCCCGTACCAGACCGCCAGAGCTTGCGACTACATTTTCAGCGCTTGGAGAATATGCGAATTGTGCAGGGAGTGGGGGTTGCCGCTTACAATGGTCAAAATAGACGTGCAAAAAGCGTTCGACTCGGTCAATAGATCGCGTTTGCTTGCCAAATTACGGTCTAGGCTCGGCCCTACGCACGAAATGGCCTGCTGGGAACGCCTGCTGAGCGAAACAACAGCTATTCTCTCCACCCCCTGGGGCGTGAGTGAATTCGAAATGTGTTCGGGGATAAAACAGGGAGCGGTCGAAAGCCCCACCTTTTTCTCGCTCCTCATGGAGGAGGCCCTAGAAGAAACCATCTCTGCCCATGGGTGGGATGCCTCCCCCTCGCTTTTCGATGACTTCGCCCACGAAAGCATGCTGTTCATGGATGATGGCTTGTTGTGGGCCCGGGACCCTTGTACGGTGGCACAGCGGCTTGAACAACTCAGACTCACCTTGCTGTCCTACGGCCTCACACTCAACATCAAGAAGTGCCAAATGTACTGCAGCAAGGATGTGGTAGGGCCGAGGGTTGTGACAATCCAAGGGGTTGAACTCCAAGCGTCCGACAGTGTCGAGGTGATGGGGCTGAAGCTGAAAAAAGGGGTTAGCATTTGCGAACTGTTGCAGCCTCTGGTCGCCCGTGCCAAACAGAAATTCTGGAGCCAAAAACACTTACTCCGTTGTCGGTCTCCGTTGAGGGGCCGTCTTCAGCTGTTGCACAGGGTTGTGGCAGGAGCAGGGCTCTGGTGCATTGCAGCCTTCCCGCCGTGCCGCTCTGCTATGGGACTGCTGAACAGCGTGCAGGCCATGCTGGTGGGATGGGCGATGCGTCTATCTAAGTCCGAGGGAGAGAGTTGGGTGTCATTCCGCCAGAGGGTTGTTCGGTCCTCGAGGGTTGCACTGGTCCGCTATGAGATCCCACGTTGGTCCACGTTATGGTTACGAAGATGGTGGGACTTTTCAGGCCATCGTGTCAGGGGGTTGTTGAGTCAGGCCCCACCACTCAGTTCGTACCTCGACGAATTTCGTAGTCTGGCATGGTGGCGAAGGGTTCAAGCGAACAAACAGGGGCCTCGTCATCCACACCATTTCGCACGACTCACGGCACTTGAAGAATCTATGAACAGTGCATGCCAGGGTCCTTGGAGGGCTTTTGCACACGACAGGGCAAACTGGGCTCAGTTGCGGGATCGCTACGTTCGGGCCTGTGACCTGCCTTGGGCCTCGGGGAGACAGCTGGCATTGCCAGCATGGTGTTGAACAGGGTTCTTTGCACGAGGGTAAGGGACAGGGTTGAATGAAGATGACGATCTGATATGCCCAGCCTTTACCTCTCGAGCTTTGGCGACCTTCGCATCAAGCACCATGCTCGCCTTTGCGCTCCTTTTCGGGGGCCTCGTGCCACTATGGATGTGGCCCCACACCTTCATATTTGACCTTCGCTCTATGTGCAGGTTCCCAGCGACCCCACTGCCCATGACCAACCTCGGAGTGATGATGGTGGCACTCCACACAATGGGATGTGCGGCTCAACCCCCTGAGGTTTTCGGGAACTGGCCGCCACAGTGGTACATCTACTGCCGTGATGGTGGGCAGATGCTGGTGGAAAGAGGGGAGAGGGCAGAGCGCCTTCTTCATGCACTCAACTACCTCATTCGCTCCCGTGAGGATCGCTTCTATGAGGAGTGGACCCTTGACCCCCAATACGACATGGAACACCAAATGGGGGCTTCTTACATCCCTCAAGGGTCCCTGCCCATCCTCCCGAATGACATCATGCAATGGGCAAGGTACACGGAGGAGCACTTTCATGACGAATATCTTGATGTGTACTTTCCGCACCAGCAACTGGCACTACTCACACAAGCGGGTGAAGCACCAACCATGCTGCTGCCACTGGCTGCACCAGCTGCTGGCGAACAGGAATGGGAACGTGCCAGACGCCTGCATTACAACTTCTTGAGGAATGTTCCTGCGGAGATTGCAGTGCTGCATGGGTTGATGAGGGCTTCAGGGGATGAGCCAGGGGCTCACTTGCAACTCGGGCCGCCTCCCAATCGGTTGGCTGAATGGATGTTCGAAACAGTGGTCTTCCTCCGTGCCGCCAGAGGCGAGGCACACGATGGATGGGGCCTGCAGCTCCTTCGCACTCGCTCGCGGTCGAGGCCAAGTGTGAGGTATGGGTCCAGGGCAGCAGGATACATCCACGAGGTGGAGACACTGCTACCACACAGCCAGGCTATGGGAGTGGAACCCCCGGACTACGTGCTCGACTGGGCTATCATTGCTGAGGGTGAGCTCTACTCCCTGCTTGCCCGTGATGAGGACACGCCGTCCTGTGATGCCACGAGCTTGGTGCAGGGCTCGCAGCCTATCAAAAGACAGTGGCTCAAGAAGGGCAATGCTAGCGACAGGCGCCGTCACAAGTACGCTCGGCAAAGGGCCGAGGAGGAACGCCAGAGGCGTATGGGGTCTCAGGGTTCTGGCGCCAGCGGTGCATGCAAGGTCACCACATCCACGAGAGTGCTTCGGCCGGATGCAAGGCGGCCCCCGCCATCACGGGAGGCACCCTCCTCACATACTGGAGGACGGGCAGGCTCTTCGACGGACGTGAAGCCTCCAGCTACCCCTCCGCAGCCGCTCACTTTGGACGAAGCTGCCGATGTGTGGAGCATCATCCTGGGCCTGGCCACGGAGGATGAAGTGGATGCCAAACCGGGGACCATCCTCGGTGAGGTGACCACCACCAGCATCCTTGAAACAATCCTTGACTACAACCTACAGGACAGACTCACGATGACCCTGGCATTTCAAGGAGTGGTTGCCAGGATGCTCAAAATGGTGGGCATGATTATCGAGGATGCCATGGAAACAGACCGGGCCAGACACCGCAAGGGTCCAGAGGACCCACCGGACGAGGGGGACGCAACAGGGTTCATGCAAACGGGAGGGGCACTGGTCACCACGGACAGGGAGTGGGAGACCTTCTTGCTTGACCTCCGCCACGCTTTTGAATCCATGACCAAGGGTTCAAGGAAAGCGAATGCCGAAATCCTGCACATTTGGTTGGACCATAGGGCTACAGATGAGGCCCAGGGAAAATGCTTGGGTCACATGAGTGGCCGACCGGCGCAATTGTTGTCCCTGCTGGTTGTGGTCTTTGAGAGCTGCGAGGACATGGAAGGAGGACAGGTGGCTCCCAACTATGATTGGTGCAACCAATGGTTCTCGCGTGTCTCCTTGTTTGTGCCGACAGCCTGGTGGTGCGCGACTCCTCCTCTTGCTCGCGCTGGAACTCCACCTCTCTGAGGTGTGCCTCCCTTGCATCCATGTCTTGCTCCTGCTGGTGTTCTTCCAGTAGGCAGTCCAGGTCACGATCAGAGGTCCGGCGGGTGTGCATTGGGCCTCGTGTGCCCTCGTCTTCGGATTCAGACGGGAGCTGTCGCATGAACAGCACGGGGGCAGGTCCCCCGGGTGCGAGCCCTCGACCCTGAGATTTACGGGAGCCAGGGTGCCTTGGAGGATGAATATATGGAGCAACATGATATGCTGCGTCATTTGTCGCCTGAGGAGTATCGCCAGTGGGAACTTCGACAGATGGAACTTGCGATGTCCTCACCACCACCCAAAAGAACTCGAATGTTCCTGCGAGTGGAACTCTCTAGTGGGAGTTCGGATGCACCTCGAGTTTCTCGGGAGCTTTTGGTGCCTCTTGAGCCGCAGGGCACGGGGGTCTCCTTGAGGATTGGTGTGGTACATGCTCCGAGGGACACAGCCACACAACCTGTTCCAGTGGTGGACCAAGTGTCGGCCACGATCCTGGACACGGCCGGGGAAGCAGGACAGGGCAATGGGTCTGCCAAGCCAGTGGCTGCAGACCTGGACAGGGTCACTGACCACAATGTGGCAGGGTCTTCCGAGGGCTTACCTGGGGCAATGCCTGCGGGAAGGGATGAGGTTCCTCCTTCAGAGGCCACCACCGTGCCCTGTGAAGTGGGCCAACCGGCCTTGCATTTCGTCCAATCCACCCTCACATATGCAGACTTCGAAGCCTTGTATGCAGACTGGGTTGCAGGGAGAATTTCGCTTGACACAGTGGAAGCTCGCTATGGGTCCAACACTCGTGAGTTGATGGAGGTACAACGAGTTGCCGAACTTACGGGTCTTGAAACACAGGAGGGCAACAAGGTCGTCTAGCCTAGTGGCTTTCAGTTCAGACTGGCGGCAGACTGGACGGAAAAAGGCGCTCAAAAAAAAAAAATTATTGAGTTTCCATTGGGTTCTGTAAGGTTTCTATAAGGGGAAAGACGGGCTTTACAGGGTCTTCAATCCGGGAGAACACCTGAAATCGTAATGTTATGGCAGCTATACTTGGGGGGTGTATTGCTTAAGCAGGACTTGTTGCGCCCTCTGCTGAATCGCTAATGAAGCCTAGACGACGAAGTATCCTTCGTTCATACCCAGAGAGCCCAATACCCCTTAATGAAGGAATATAGCTTACATCATAATATGAATCCCCTAGTAATTTAAGCTATATTCCTTAATTAAGGGGTATTGGGCTCTATGGGTACTTGTAGGGACCCTTAGAGGCTTAACCTAATAAGGCCTGTTCAAGGAAGTACGGTCACCTACTTGGGGGGTCGGGGGACTAAGTAAGTAGTTAGTAAAAGGGGATTCTAAGGGTTCCTTTAAAGGGCTCTATAGCGGTAGTATAGGGTTTAGGGTTTAGGGTTCAGGGACTTAGTAAGTAGTTAGTAAGTAGACTTATAAGTACCCTAAAAGGGACCTTAATTGGGGTTATGGTACTTATAAGTCCCTAGAATAACCAATTACTAAATCCCCCGACCCTCCAAGTACCCCCCTCCCTCTTATCCCCCAACTCCCCCTATGATTGGTGCAGCTGCAATTCAGGCAGACCGCACAGTCCTGAAATATCGGGATCACCAAGGCCCAACTTCTCAGGACCTTACACCCTCCAAAGGGTTATCATTATTCCTATAGTCATGGCACGATCATTCTTTTCCGTATTCGTATGTTGAAAGTGCTTAAGCTTGAATTGTTGCTCGTGTTGAGGCAAGCGCCGACTTGTTAGAGGGAGTCTTCCAAATTCGAGTCACCTTAGGGTTTTAGGGCTTAGAGGTAAGCGTTTAGGGTTTGCGGGTTAGGGTTTAGGGCTTAGGCTCACTTGTCACGTGAAGCCGGTCAGTTGTGAGAGTTTTCGTCGAACGACCCTCGTACTCGTCCTCGTCCGAAGAATCTTCAAGTCGAGACATGCTGTCACTCCAACCCTACTTCCACAGCTCAGGATGTGCCATCGAGGACAGCTGAAGCGAAAGTGCAAAGTCTTGCCTCTAGTGAAGGTTCAGTGGATTTGTAGTTCGAACCTTGTCTCTGCGTTGCGAGCAATACTGGGGGGGATGACTGATCACCAATATTATTCCGTGGGTTTCCTGAATGCAAGCATATTATAATCTACACCGAGACGCTGTTGTAACTATTAAGGCCTCGAAAGAAAAAGGGCCTGATGAACATGTCCTAGAAACGGGCGCAGGGGCATGGCTGACGGCGTACAAAATCTGAAGGTCCATGCCGTGCAGCTGAAACCCTAAACCCTGATTCCACAAAGCCTGAACCCCTAAACCGCGGGAGACTAGGATCCAACATACGTGATCGGAGAAGATCATGTCTCCCCCAGCTCTCTCTTGGAGTCTTCAAAGCATAGTCTCCATGTCTTCCGGTTATGTTTCGGTTTTGGGTTTTGGGTTTCGGCTCACACATAAAGGGTGTTCTAAGTTGAATGTAATGGCTTTATGGTTTCATACTGTTGATGGACAAAATCCTGCATTACCCTTTATAAGAAATATACCATAATTCCCATAGTTTAGCTCCCTTAGGGTCGTGCAGGATTTTGTCCAGTAAGGTTTGGCTTTCTAAGGTTTCATAAGGTTTTCAGACCAGGGCTCAAGACCGACAGCTAAAAGAATCGTTAAGGCTGACTTGCACACATCGTAATCATAGTAATAATAGTGATAATAGTAATAATAGTGATCATAGTAATAATAACAATAATAGTAATTCTGCTAGGAGCCTCTCTCTGTCGTCGGTGCCTTTCCAGCAGATCTGCCCGCTCGATGGCTGACCAGGCTTCCAGCGGTTGCCGTGTGCTGGACATTCGGTTTTTGTATGTCACATGGATGGTGGTGGTGGTGGTGGTGGTGGTGGTGGTGGTGGTGGTGGTGGTGTGGTCATACGTAGTGATGTAGTAGGCGTGGCAGTCGTCGTCTGAGTACGAGTAGGAGTAGGAGTAGGAGTAGTTGTCGTCGCGGCGGCGCTGGTGGTCGTGATCGTGGTAGTAGCAGTCGTTGTCGTCCCTGTCGCTGTCATCGTCCTCCTTCTTGTCTTTGCTGCTTCGGCGCTTCGTCGTCGAAGTGGCTGGAGGAGTTTTCGCAGCAGCATTCATTCCAACGCGGACTCAAAGTGCTCGAGTACAGCGCAGAGGCAGAGGCAGAAGCGTCAGAAACAGCAGCACCGGAGTCGCTGGAGTTGAGTCGGAGTAGGAGTGACACGAGAAGCATCCTATGGCCATTGTTTGCCGAGCAGCAGCAATCAGAGCCCAGTGGAAGGTCTTTCAGGTTGAATTTGGGTGTGACTTCGGAAGTTAGTTTTGAGTTTGATATGGGTCCAAGTGCGAGTTCTCTCTGCGCGGATTTGCTGAGTCCTCTGCTTTTTGCTTCGAGCATATTCATAGTTTTCAGGGTGATTCCAAGCTCTAGTTCCCAACGCTACCGTTAGCTTTCCACCTTAAGCCGAACTTGCTTCAGCCCAGAACCCTCAACCCTCGACCTTCGGGATATCCCTAAACCCTAAATGCTACACCCTAAACTCCTATAGAACCCTTCTAGATCCCTTTCAGGAGCCCTTAAGGAGCCCTGAACCCTAAACCCTAATTCCTACACCCGAAACCCAAAGCCGCAGCTCTGAGAAGAAAAAACTCCAGGCTGCTGGAAACCTGTGGAGAGAGCGAGGTGCTCGTGCAGCAGCCCAGCTCCAAATCACAGAGGTTTCGGGGGGCATTGCAGGGGCTTCTTTGTTGGGCTGTTTGGAAGAACTACTGTAGGATCGTATCTCGCCAAACAACAATCTCAACACAACGAGCGATTTTCACACAGAAGATAGTGTGAGTATATGCATATATATATATATATATGTATGCTACCCCCCCAAAGACCAAGGTTTTCAGATAAGAACAGTGGTGGGTGCTCCCATTAATATAGAATTCTAATGCTGTTCTGGAAGAGTACTGAAATAATGTTTTTTTTGGTAGTGCTTTTTGTTTTTGGTGGTATTGTTTTCTAGTTTTTTGTTGGTATTGTTTCTTGGTTTCTCGCTTAGAGCCATTCTAAGTGCGATCACGACCAAAATGTTTTCCATTCAAGTGCCATATTCTGTTGATGGCTTACTTCGTATGGAAAACTCGCCCCATCCCGTGTGCTTTATTGGCTTCACTTGTAGTATGTGGTCAACCCCACAAATGCATTTGTTCTTATACTATGGGTTTTAAGAAATCAAGCTACTTGTAACATTTAAAAATTTAAAAACACCTGCCAAGCATAGTACCTCGATGCCATCGTTTAGTGTGTACAATTTGTTGTATGCGAAAAGAAAAGGTTAACTATTTGCCAGCTGAATATAGAATTGAACTTCCGGGGTTTGTTAATTACTACATATGTGGCCCTACAAAGACATGTATTCTTAGACTATATGTTTGAGATATCAACCATATAGTCTTATAGTTTAAACATGCCTATTAAGCATAAGACTTCGGTGTCACCATTTAGCATGCACCATTTCATTCTTGGAAAAATAAGGTTAAGTACTCAGCAATTGGTTATACAATCGAATTTACAGGGTCTGTTAACTGCTAGTTGCAAATAATATGGCTTGAGATTCCTTGTTGCGATTTACCCAGATAGCTGCTTAATAGAAGCAGTATAGTAGAACCTTGGAAGCTATACTTTTGAACAGGAGCCAAACAGCCTGAAGAAATCTCTCTACAACTAAGCTATTCATGAAGTGCCTTGCCAGTTAACACGAGCAGACAGAAAACTATATTTATGATGCTTCATATGATATCACTACACCCAGGGATAATGACATACTTATACGGATTACTGACTGCAGAAACATGATTTTTCTGTATGTTGGTAATTAGATGATTGGGTAGATTGAATTGAATCCTCGGATCAATTCAAGCATAGGGGTTGCTGAGCTAACAATCGTCAGATTTACATATATAAATAGCATAGAGGGTTTGTTGTTTGCCGATTAGAACTCAGAAAGCAATATATTCACAGTAGTGCCTGTAGGGACAACGTTATACTTATATGAAGATGTAGCTTAGTATATAGCTGTAGAATATTGTTTTCACAAGGACGCAAACAGCTGGATAGGCCAGATCCTCGGACCTATTTAGGCGGAGTGTTTATCTACTTATGTCAAACCAGTTCTAGGTATTATCATAATACGGTGCGTTTAGTAGTCTTTCCAATAATTGAATCGATCATATACATTCATGCATAGATTGCTAGCTACATGGACGTTAAAGTATGTGCTTTTGATACCTCAGTAGTATACAGTTCGATAGATTGAGCCCTCGATTATATTCTTAGTATTCCAACTGCATTTGTTGCATAAAACTAGTCGTGTTATCTGATATTAAGCTGGGCGTAATTCAAAAGAATACGTTTAGGGAAGCTTAAAGGTAGTATCATACGTCTAGTTGATGACTTTCTCTTCATGCCCTTAAAACCCATATGCGTGTACTCCAAAGTATGCAAACGCAGCGGTAGACTTTGACCCCTGAACCCAATTTTCACACTTCCACGTACGGCCCTCATGATCGATTTCAAGATAAACCCTATTGAGTTCAATAGGGCATATTGAACTCAATAGGCCTCCCGGATTGAAGATTGAAGATTGAAGATCTCCCAGGAAACTTTTCGAGGGCATCTTCAATCTTCAATCTTCAATCCAGAAGGCCTATTGAATTCAATAGGGCCTATTGAATTCAATAGGCCTCCTGGAATGTACGACAGGAAATGGTATAAGGATTATTGTATGCAGGCTTGTATGAAAACCGCAAGGGGGTTGTGTCATGCATGTTTGTCCCTACACCTAAACAGGGTTGTTGTTGGCATCCTGCCCCCCAAAGACCAACGACTATCGGCTAGTGTAAGTAGGCTTGTATCTAAAGCTCATATAGAAACCTTTGTCTTTGGGGGGGGTACCATATATATATATATATATATATATATATGTGGTGTGTGTGTGTGTGTGTGTGCGCGTGTGAGTGCCTATGTCTATCCGTGTGTCTACGTCGATGTCATTATTTATGCTTTTATCAGTTATGTCTATGTGTATGAGTAGGTGTAGGTGTAGGTGTCGGTATGTGTACACGTACATGTATGAGTACAACTCAATGTACATGCATAATGCATAGGTCTATACATGTCAACCTATGTATGAGTATGTTTGCGCATGTACATGTATAGTATCAGTGTGTGTCTGTTTGCGTGTTTATGTTGGAGCGTGTGCATGTGTGTCTGCGGCTATGTGTGTGTATGTAGTTGTGTGCATGTAAACACAGTAGTTAACACACAGTCAGTACATTAACGTATTTTATGTATATAACTATCAATACACATATCCATACACACAGACAGATGCAGATATGTACTTATGTACGGATACTTCAACCACTGGTGTGTAAAAAGGTAGATAGCTAGCTAGCTTAGCTACTGTATCCAAAAAGGAAAGAAGGATAGATTGATCTTTAGATGGACCTGCGACCGCTCGATGTAGTACTACACACCCGTGCACGCTCGCGAGCATGCCCTGTCGCTACTTAGAGGGGCAGGGGACTTAGTAAGTCGGTTATAAGTAGAGTTATAGGTACCCTAAATGGAGTTACCCCAATTATAACCCTACGTCTAGCCTACTTACTAAGTCCCCTGCCCTTCCAAGTAGGAATGCAAGCACGCAGGCATACAGGTGCTCAAGTACGCAGGCACGCTGCGTGACATTTCTGCAGCTCCACTCCTGCAACGTAGGTTTCAAGATTAGGATCCCAAGGTTAAGTATACTGTAGTATACTACACTCTACCATACTGGGGTTTGGGGTTTAGGGTTTAGATACTATACTATTTGAGGGTTCATCTTGCGCATCCGAGGAGCAGAACTCTGCGAGGTCGGCAGGCGCATCCAGTCGAAGACGTACGATTATGGGAAAAGCGGAAAAGCCCATACCTCAACCCCTCCAAACCCTAAACACGAAACCCCTAAACCCTAAACCGTGAACCCTAAACCCTAAACCCTTAACCCCAAACCATCCTAGCCTAAGCCCAAGAGCTCTCAGCCCAGGATTCAAGTCTTCAGGCTCTCTGATACATCTTGGAAACAGGGCTTTGGGTGAGTGCTTTAAGCCTTGGGTTGGTGCCAAAGTCTGACCAACAATCGTGTTTTGGGTTTCTGAGATGAGGTTTAGGATGTAGGGTTTAGGGTGTAGGGTTCAGAGGTGTGTGACAGAACAGCTGATGCTACAGCCCCGCCGCTGCGAAACACCAGATCCAAAACCTACACCGTGTAAGCTTGGAGCTGTTAACCTTCCAACACATGCAAAGCTCAACTCCAAAACCCTAAGCCCTGAACCCTAAAATCCGGAAGGCAACAGCCCAAGCCCTTCCCCCAATGTTCGAACAGGACAGAAGTCGCTCCTTGAAATGGATTCCAAAAGCCCCGATCTCACATTGGACGTGGAGCACCGAACCCGGAATCCCGAAGCCGAAACCGAAATGTAAGGCCTCAGCGCCCTGAACTCCAAACCTAAACCTAAGTCCCAAACCCGGAATTCTACCCCATCCTCCCCCCCAAAAGAAAGCCTTATTCTAAATCCCAAACCTTAGATCCTAAGCCCCCAGTGCTAAACCTACATCCCGAACCCCGCCCTGAAACCTATATCCCAGACCCGAAATTCGAAGCACCTACTTAGAGGATCATGGGACTTAGTAAGTAGGTTATAACTGGGGTTATAAGTCCCCTAAGTGGGGTTAGCCTAACTATAACCTACTTATAACCTGACTTACTAAGTCCCATGAGCCTTCAAGTAGACCCCAAAGCTAAATCCGAATCCCAAACCCCTGACCTAAATCTGAACCTTGATGCCATATAGGGGTTTCCGAAAATCAATCCAAAAGCTTCATTCAGCTCTTAAGCCTAAATCTCACAGATTGAATCCGAATCTGCTAAGCGTACTTATATCCTAAGCTCTAGGTTTAGGGTCCAGGGTTTCGGGTTTGGGGACTTACATCCTGAGCTCTATAGGATCCGCACAACCCAAAGTTTAACCCCAGCCTCTTACCCCAAGGGTCCAAAGGACCCAATAATTAGGTACTCAGTTGTAGGATAGTAGTTACGTAGGTTAGGATTTTGGAGAGTTTATGATTATTAAGTACTTGCACCCTTGGGGTTGAGGCCGTGGCGATGAGGGTCTGCGACTTTGCGAAGCTCTCAGCTCCGTCCGCCTTTCAGAGCGCCGCTCTGCTTACCTAAAGGCTCATGGGACTTACTTAGTAACTAGGGTTGTAAATAAGGTAACCATACATATAATTATACTTATATCCCCAATTAGGGGACTTATAACCTTAACGTACTGAGTCCGATGATCCTCTAAGTAGGATTCACCATTAAAAAAAAGTGCTTGGGGTTAAGGGTCTGGGGCTGGGGTTCAGGATTTGATTGAGGTATAGGGGTTTAGGGAGGGTTAAGGCTAGGGTTTAATTAGGTGTTTAGAGCTTAGGGGTTGAGGGTGCAGGGCTTGCGGTTTCCGGGCTGTTTTTGGTTTTGATAGTAGCGCTTTTGCTAGAACTTCCATGAGAATCTTCAGTGGAACCCTTGCAGTGGACATCGAAGCCTGATCCCGGAGATTTACACGGTCTTAGGTCAGGGGAGGAGGGTTTTTGGGCGGATAGTATGACGAGTTAAAGCCTTGCGTTACGGGCTAACGGCCCTGCCCTGAGCCCTCAAGCTTACTGTTCAGGGGTTTGGGTTCCGGGTTTTGGGGTTTTGGGTTCTGGGTTTAGGGTTTAGGGTTGGGGGTACCGTGCTTGTAACTTTGCATCGGGCGATTGTTTTGAAAAGGGTCTTTTCCATTCGTCCAAAGTGCCGTATTCTCGACCGCCAGTCATCTAAGTGTTTCCTGTATCCTGCTGAAGCCTTAAACCCTAAAAAAGAATATGCCTGGCTGTCCTGGCTGTGGAAGCCTCTCGGGACCCTCGAACACCGCTGGCTGGCTTTTCTTTCAGCTAGGGCATCAGGCGCGCGCGGGCGCGATTTCTTTCGCTGGCTGTATCCTTGTCTCGAGGTCTGGCAAAGGCCCCTCTGCGCATTTCAACATAAGCCCTTTTGCATCTTTCTCCTTTGTCTGCAGGCTCGGCCCACGTGGTCCTCGCATCCATTCCTACTGGCCCTTTTGCAGCGGCGGAATCCAGCGTGCGAGCTAGCGTCGTGCTCCGTAACAAACAAATAGTGTTCTAGGTCTAGCAAGGGCTCGAAGCGGGCTCTCTGTTTCTTCCGAAGGATACGTCTGCCTATGCTTGTTCTGTGGGGTCAGTCCGGTCCCTTCCGCAAACCGAAAGCCTCGCCTCGGGCTTCGCAGGTGTACGGCCCTTGTATCTACCGTCGTGGTTCAAACACATTGAGTCCAGGGACTTGTCTGGAAGCGCTGGTTTCTTGCGGTTTCGTCCGTGGGTGAGTTGGGTAATTCCAGGGTTTTGAGATAAGCTAAACCTCAGCCTTCAAGGAACAGTCTGGAAGGGCTGGTGTCTTGTGGTTTCATAGGTGAGGGGGTTCGCCTTTTGTCGCGTGCCCACGCTTGCGAATGCTTTGCCTCTACACGTGGGGTCTGGCAAAGGGGTTTGGTACGGCTGAAAACAAGCGTCAATACCTTTGTTGTCTCTCCAAGGCTTGCCTACCACTGGCCCCTTCTATTTTTAAGCGTCGCACTTCCCATGATCCTCGGGGTCGTCTGTAACACTCCCCATGGAACGGCGACTAGGGTTCTAGGTATTATTGGAGCTTTTCTTAAAGCATGTGCTGGACGCTGCAGCAAGCTTCTTTAGCCTTCAAGCACTCTTCGCACTCTTCATTCCCTCTCGCGCGCTGCACAATGACTCAGCCTTACGTGCAAGGAGAGTTCCTTTGCCGCGAATGCGAGTCGGATCGGTTGGAGTATTGCATGAAGGCTAGGAAAGGGATGGTGGTTCGATCACTGTAGTGTTTTTCTTCTTCGGGGTTTGGTCTTCTTCCTTTCAAGGGATTCTGGCTTGGGATCCGAAAACGGTTTCCTTCGGGGCTTTCCGCGTTTCAGGGCTATAGGGTTGCTCGGGGTTACTTTTTGGTTATACGAAGTAGGCGATAGTCAGCGCTATCGTCTTCTTGTCTTTTCCCTTCCCCTGATAACAGATGGTTCGTCTGGTGTGCTGCGAATGTGGTACCGTGGACGACAGAGATCCCCTCAACATCCACGACATTAATGAAGACTGTGGGGCGAAGCTTCTATTCTGTCCAGGGTGGATTTCTTAAGTTTGCTTATAGGAGGGTGTTCCTTTAGCTGGATCGGTTCCGGGTCTTTAGGGTAGTTAGTGTCTTTGGGGTCAGGACGACCACATCGATTATACGCTCCACGAGAGCCGGACCAAAGATGGCAAGATGGTCTCCGAGGTTCTCGCGCTGGGTTTGGGGGTATTCTTTTTGAGGGTCGTCTTCCTTTGTATTTCCTGCGGAATCTTCTTTCTTCTAGTCCGGATTGGCTCTAAGGGGTCTAGCTCGTTTTTTCTAGCACGGGTGTGCTGCTGCTTCGCACCCACCAGGCTCACCACTTGCATAAGTCCGACCTGTCCAAGCGGCGTTGGCGCCGCACGGTCCGCTGCCGCGCCACAGGTGGCAGGGATAGAGTAGGGATCTTGTGGGTTTAATTGAGATAGACGGTTTCCCTTTCACCTTTTTCCGAAACTCGGGGTCTTCGCGCTGTATTTATCCTAGGGTTTCTTACCTACTCCTGTTTTCCTTATGCTCTTAATCCCTAGAGGCCTGACCAAAACCTTCGAGCAGCGGCCGTTTGGCTTTCATGCCATGCGCGCCTGGCTGAAGGCTTATGCGGCCGGCAGCGGAGAGGTGAGTGAGGGGCCGACAGAGTGCATGGGCCAGGTTTTGAAGGGGCGCGACCTGGCCAGAGCCCTTGCCAAAAAATGGCGGGGCTGGCTTACCCGAGAAGAGTGCACACTTCTGCGGGGAGCGTCCAAGCCCTTTGGGCACAAGCCCGTGCGGAGAGGTCCGCGGCCGAAGCGTGAGGCTTCCCCAGCTCCCTCATTCCACTGGTCGGACTGGGAGAACTGATTTATAAGTAGGTTTATCTTCGTCTTTTAGATTTAAGCGGTAGTTGTTTAGAAGGAATTCGCATCCGATAGGTTTAGGAGGAAGCAGCTAGAATATCATCTTCTCCCAGCTTCGCTGCCAGAGTTGGATGGGAGCAGCACATAGTCTAAGTTTACTACTCGGAACTAGGGGGTGTTTAAAAGTACGGTTTGACTGGACTTCCGCACGGGCTGAATTCATTTAATTCGCCTTCTGCGGCTGCATCTGCGTGCTTTTCTGAACCCCTGTCTTTTGGGGGGTCCGTTGCACGCTGTAGCTTCATTTCGCCTAAGAGCTGCTAATTCGCGATGCGCGGTCCAAAACGAAGGTCTGCGCAAGGGCGCCTGGGATCAAGGGGTTGCTCAGGGGTTTCGGGGTGGACGAGGCGTCAGGGTTCTTCTTCTTGGGTCTCTTCTCCGGGTCTGGCTTCGTTTTAGGATCTTCTGCTTCTGGGTTGCCTTTTTGAACACGGGGTTTCGGTTTCAGTCCAATGGGTAGCTTTGGCTGGGGTTCTAACGGGTCCGTGACGGGTTCTTCTTCTTGGTTTTCCTTTGCGGTTTGGTCTTTGTTTCAGGATCTTCTCCTTTTCGGTGTCCTTCTGAGCAACGGGTTTCCAGGCCTCAGGCTTTGCAGGGCTTCAAGCTTCTGGAGTTACCCTGGGTTCTGGGTTTTGACGACTAGCCTTCTGGATTTCGTTCTTTGTCCTTCGGTCTAAATCCAAGGGGTGGCTTTGAGGTTCTAAAGGGTTTGGTCCGGGCCGGCTTTCGATTCTTTTGTGGGATGTTATCTCCTTTATGTTTTGTGGTCGATGTCCTTTGGAACAAGGGGTTTCCAAGCCTTAGGCTAGGCAGGCTCTCAATCAAGGCCCCGGGGTTACCCGGGTTCTGGGTTTCGACTACTGGCCCTGTGGATTTTGGGCTTTTCCTTCTGTTGGAGTCCAAGGTGTGGCTTTGAGGGTTGGCTGTGAAGGCTTTGGTAGTGGGTTTCAAGCTTCGTCGAACAGGTCCAGGACAGCACAGAGCTCCGAAGGGGAGAAGGGAACCTCCCCCCTAGAACCCCCCTAACCTTTTCGTCAGCATCTTCCTTTCGCGTTCCGCTGTCAGGCTCCTTTGGTTTTTGTGGTCGATGTCCTTTGGAACAAGGGGTTTCCAAGCCTCAGGATAGGCAGGCTCTCAATCAAGGCCCTGGGGTTACCCGGGTTCTGGGTTTCGACTTTTGGCCCTGTGGATTTTGCACCTTTTCCTTCTGTTGGAGTCCAAGGTGTAGCTTTGAGGGTTGGCTGTGAAGGCTTTGGTCGTGGGTGTCAAGCTTCGTCGAACAGGTCCAGGACGGCACAGAGCTCCGAAGGGGGGAAGGGAAACAAGGTGCTTCCCTAAACCCTAAACCCTGAACCCTAACGGTGCTCAAACAAGCTTTAGCTCCAGCCAACCCGTTGGACCTTTCACAAGCAAACTGCAAGCCCGAGGCCGCAGCCTCGGAGCTCAGCGTTTAGGGTTTAGAGTTTAGGACTCATTAGTTAGAGTTTAGGGTTTATTATTTAGGATTTAGGGTTTATTATTTAGGGTTTAGGGTTTAGGATTTCAACGGTTAGGGTTCAGGGTTTATTATTTAAGGTGTAGGATTTAGGGTTTAGGGTTAGGGCACAGTTCCGTCTAGATTGCCCATACGGGTTTCCATACAACGTGTGCAGTTTTCCTTGCATTGCTGAGATAGTGAACGGGGGAGCTTTAAACTTTTCGGCCTTATATGTTACAGCGGGAGCGCTGTTTAAGAAAATACTTTCTGGGACGAGGGTGGTCTGGTTTTCTTCTTTTGATAGCGGCTGGTTTTATGGGAATATTTAATCTGGGATGAGTCAGGGTAGTCTGGTTTTCTTGAGGCCGTTTTCTTATATAGCTGTGTCCAGGGCCCATTCCAGAACCCACCTAAACAAGAAAACGAGACTCTGGCATTTTCTTATTCTCCTTCGTTCCAGAACCCACCTAAATAAGAAAACGAGACTATGGCAATTTTTTATTCTCCTTCGTTCCAGAACCCACCTAAATAAGAAAACGAGACTCTGGCATTTTCTTATTATCCTTCGTTCCAGAACCCACCTAAATAAGAAAACGAGACTCTCGCATTTTCTTATTCTCCTTCGTTCCAGAACCCAGCTAAAGACCACGATGCCTACGATCCCTGAAAGCCATGCTTGGAAGCCTTGGAGGGGAAACTTCAGCAGGGTCAAGGCACGAAGTGCTTAGGACACCCCAAGTACTAGGGCTAGGATGTTAGGCAAGAGCCCCTGATGTATGGAACCCCTCATACAGCACAGGCCAAGTTTACGCGCACTAGCATGACAGAACGAAATAAAAAAATGAGACTTGCGGACGAGGGTACCCTGGTTTTCTTTTTTTAACAGTGCTTGGTATTTTATATAGAACCCTATCAATCGCAAAATCCAGAGTCTCATTTTCTTAATCCAATGTTTTCTTAAGTAGTGCTGTTGCTGTAGCTCGATCTTGGAAAGTTTGAACTTTTTGGGGCCCGGTTGTTGAAGAAGAGAGATGAAAGAAGGTCACGAAACGGGTGCTACTCGAGAGCGAGCCGTGCCACAAGCCCGACAGGTTTCGCGTGGCCTCTCATCTTGACGATGTAGACGGGCCACGCTTAATGATGTGTCCACATGGGCATGTGACATGAATCTGCTGCATTGAAACTTAGGTTTGAGCTGACCTTTCCCTGTCGCATGCTACAACCAACCGCAGTCTATGGCCGTCCTAGGAAACTCTTCTGCCGGACATAGACAAGGCAAGTGGGAAGATGGGGGTCCCCCGGGGGAGCATGGAGTTCCGAAACATATATCACATCCGAAAGCAGCGCTGGTATTGCTGTTGTTGCGACTGCAACTGCTACTGCCACTGTCAACGGGCACCGTTACCCATGCGGCTGCTGCTGCTGTGGATGGAGGAAATCTTGCACTGCTTCGAACGCAACATAGCCGCCTACCCCGTCACCCCCTTTTGCAACATTGGCATTAACAGGCCGTTTCAGGACTTGGCCCAGCGACATACATGTCGAAACACCTCATCAAGACAGGGAGCAATGTTAAACTGGCGGTAGTTGGGTGTTGTTTTACGTTCCTTGAGTTAGGAGGTGATGCAAGGTTTCCTCCGTCAACCGTGCCTAGGGCCTGCAGGGTTTCCTCAAAGGACCGAAGGCTAGGAAGCCCAGAAGCCCCGAACCCTAAACCCGAAACCCACCCCCCTCCAAAAAATTAAAGACTAAAAGCTTAAAGCTTGAATCCTTACCTTTAAACCTGAACACGAAGCCATAACACTTAAACCCTGAAGGAGCTGGTGGACCAGATTCTTTCCAGCTTGCCGGCGGCCATGCAGGAGCGTCCTGCTGATGATCCCTTATCACTTGGAGCTAACATATAGATGTCATAGTATGATCACAATATAGTATAACCTCACTAGTATGTGAGGTTGTACTATATTGTGTGGTCTAATGCCGTTTTTTTTTGACATTGTATGCATTGCACTTTGCCTCGGTTACGACCATTGTTTGCGTGATTCTCCTTCTTATGTGCTGCTGTAGTCCCAAGCATCGTTCGCACGATGATCGTCGTCCTGACCGTCGTCACCAGACTGAAGGAGCACTTGGAGGATCGTGGGACTTGGTAACTAGGGTTATAAAAAAGGTAACTTTACTTATAATTACTTATAGCCCCAATTAGGGTATATACCTATAACCTTACTTACTAAGTCCCCTGACCCTCCAAGCAGCCAAAATTCCCAGCACACTTCGCATTTCGATGTGATGGCTGGAAACTACGAGGTTTCTCGATTCTGGCTTTGGGCTTGGTGGGGGTTTCCGGGGTTCATGAAGGCACCTGTGGTGTCGTAGGGGTCGATTTTGAGTCTAAAAAGGTTGATGAGTGTGAATTTTGAAGTTCGAGGTTTGGGGTTAGTTGGGGTATGCGGGCTTAGCGTTGTTCAGGATATACGGGCTGGGTTGTGGTCTGCGGTTGGCTGGTTCATCCCTACTTGAGCTCGACACCATGAGACGCTGCAAGGGTATCTGCGTCAATTGTCTACAAACCTTCAGTGCCCCTTATCTTAGATAGTGAACGTGGGAACTTTGAACTTTTTGGCCTTATATATTAACATTTATCTTAGAAAGTTTGAACTTTTGGGGCCCGGTTGTTGAAGAACCGAGTTATTAATGAATCTTACATTTTCGGGCCCGTCATCCTTTGCACCCTTCACAGGAGTTCTTGAGGGGAATCTATTCTATGCCCCGAAGTCATCGCGGAATGATGCAGGAGGACTTGTTCGACCGCTTCCCACGCTGTCTTCGGCCGTCCAGGCGAGGGATTTTCTGCCAGTTGATATCAAAGCCACGGTTTAGGGTTTAGGGTTGAGGATTTAGGGTTTAGGGGTTTGAATCGGGGATTCTGTCAGGGTTGCTTCGTGAGTTCTATAAAGATTGGAATGGTATTTCTGCGTTGATATAGGAGCCTCATGGATTGGACTGGGGGTCTGGGGTATAATGCAAACTGCAGTTTGTAGCAGAAAGCCTCAAAGACTGCTTATCATATATAGCTAATTATTACGACCCCTGTGTTAGGTTAAGCTGAGGCCTTGAAGTTCAGACGGTCTTACAGCCCAAGCCCTTAGCATCACAGCTGTGTTGCGACAGCAGCTGGATTGAGGGTCGGGGATTGGGGGTACATCACAAGGGGCGCTGATTCAACACTTTGGAGGATTCGACACCAGGCTAAGGTTTGGTATTGATAGGATGCTGTTGGTAGTTGTAAGAAGCGTAATTAGCAATGGTCGCAAAGGTTTTATCGACAGGGAGGACCGCAAATCTCCTGATCAATGAGAGCTGAGAGCTTCAATGCTCTTTCGCTCACGCAGATCACAGTGCTCCTACTTGCCATGTTGACAAGCACTGGAGATCAAAACACAGATCGTACTTGTAAGGTTCATGACAACCTTGGTCGTTGTGACTTCCATGCGGCCCATACTGCCGTTGATGGTCAAGGGGTCAATTGGGTCCCGGTCGTGGTATTGGTCATACTGTCTTACAGCGGTTGGAAGAAGCATTATGGTCGCAATCCGAACCCCTTTCAGTTGCTTGATCGCCCCAGCTGTGGCCACGTTAGTGAGGCATCCAGCAGTAGATGTACAGGCTTCAGTGATGATGTGGAAGATACGGTGCATACTCAAGACGGAAGGCAACAACAGTTCCAACAATGTGCGCAGTGTCAATGTCGGTCAGTCTTTCAGATTGTACCGCACAGGCCGATCACAGCAGATATCATCATCATTGCAGTCGTACAAGACTGAATAGTCACAACTCGCGTGACCATCACTACATTTCGTTCAGGGTCATCGCCAAGTCCGCTGCCGCATGCGGACTCGCAATCACGAACATGAAAGAACTCCCGTAGCAGGCCGAAAGCATCGAAACGACCTGAACAACAAGCACTCTGGTAATATGCATTGTGATAAGCTTGACATCACTACAACTTTACAGTAACACAGAAGCACCTTAAGAAAGGTTAATGCGGAATGGTTGTGTTGTAGTGATAGTATCAGCAGAACAACAGTCTAGGAAATGATGGCAAAGACGAAACTATGTTCTACATTGACACGACTCATCTCAGATTCCATTCTGACAGCCATGCGCCCCCCCCCCCCACAATACAACCAGTGCAGCATGAAACTTGTATGCACGGGCTCTTCGAATCTTTGTGACGCTGATGTCACGACCTGTCCTGTAGCACTGAGGGGCATGATGATATTGTTTCGTGGTGATGTCGATGTTGGCCAGGATGATGCTAATGATGGCGTGGTTAATATCAGTCGTCTCGTTCACCATGGCACCAGCGATGATGCTGACGGTACCATCGTGCGAAACCTCATTCCGGAAATATGCCTTAACACTCATAAAAATTAGGCCCACGATATCTTGAGGTATAGTCCGTATCTACGAGGCATTCGGCTCTCTGGGTCCGTCCATCTTTACCTGGGTTTCTGCAGTACCATACTTGGATACATGTTTGGAGCTGTTCCCATTGTGAAATCAAGCAATATATATATACACACATGTTTCTCCCTATCAAGCAATATACATGTTTCTCCCTGGCTACTTCAAAGTTCCCCTTAAACCCTATACCCTGAACCGATAGTTCCGGAACTCCAGTGAGGCTCTGCCTCTTCGGCGCAACAGCAGGCTCCGGGGTTAGGGTTGTTTTGGGGTTGAGAGGGTTTAGGGTTGAGAGGGTTTGCGGCTTAGGGTTGAGAGGGTTTAGGGTTGAGAGGGTTTAGGGTTTAGGGTTCAGGACTTACGGCAAAGAGCTTCGAAAGCGGGTTTACAAGCCTGTTTAATTGATAATACTGTTCCCAGGGGTTCCTAATCTACTAGTCGTAGTATGGTATACCTCCAGACCCTATTCTAAGTATTAGTTAGGTCCCCGACACTAGTGCTTAAAGTGCTTGCATAGCCCTAGACACCGAGTACCTAGACTCTCCCACTGCACCAAGCCTGAATATCCGCACAGAACGCGCTGAACCTAGTGCACATGCACTTACATCCCTAAACCCTAAACCCTAAACCCTAAACCCTAAACCCCTAAACCCCTAGACCCTACTTCTGCATTCCACCAGTCTGTGTCTGGTCGTTTGAGGGAAACCAAGAGAGCCCCATACCCGTTAATTGAGGAATATAGCCTAAATCATAATATGGATCCTCTTATAAGTTAAGGTATATTCCTTAATTAAGGGGTATTGGGCTCTCTGGGAGCCACTCCCCAAGTCCTAGAATCGAAAGCGCGCCTTGCCTAAATGAACCATGGCTCTGTTGGCGCACATGTGAGGACGCAAGGTCGGATGCTTGATGCTTTGTTGCTGTCCGGCTCTGTCAGTCTTGTGGCTGCTTAGGGTTTAGGGTTTAGGGTTTAGGGTTCAGGGTTGGGTTTGGATGTCATGGGGAGAACAGGGATTGCATTCGGCAGCTTTCACGTGCATGTCCTAGATTTTGTGAGGTGAAGTTGGTCCGTGCTTTGTTGTGGATCCCACAACCACCGGCAGTGCGATGTACCAGTAGGTTTGGAGCCTACTTTGACGGTCTCAGCAAAGTTGAACACAATCTCGCAGTGATATTGTCAGAAGGCGTCTTCAGTCTTTCCATATTCGTGATGCTACTGACTTATTTTTGCTTGTTGCTCTCAGTTGCTAGGTAGCAGGAACCAGTCCGGAAGACTACTGCAATGTTAGTTTCGAGGTAGCACTATTGCTTTGCAGCTCGATGCAGGTGCCCAATGCGACGCGCACCTTGTCTCAAGTCCGACGCCGTGGACACTTACATAACTCAGAACCTCAACCCTACCAACCCCAAGCTCCAAACTCAAAGCGTAGGACTTAACTTAACCCTCCTCCGAAACCCTAAACCCTAAGTCCCATGATCCTTTAAGTAGACCCTAAACCCTAAACCCTGTAGATCCCTTTAAGGAACCCCTATAGATCCCTTAAAGGAACCCTAAACCCCAAACCCCAGAGCCGAGCTGAAATCCCGACAGTGCCAGGCCTAGCTCGGAGGCCGCAGTCCCGACCCTAGCAAAGCCCTGAAAGGCTTAGGGTTTAGGGTTTAGAGTTTGAGGTTTAGGGTTTAGGGTTTAGGGTTTAGGGTTTAGTGATAATTATACGTATTATAGTGGGCCCCAAAACCCTATTCTGATGATTAAGGCCCCTATATTACGGGATTTAGGTAAGGTTTAGGGTTGAATCACAAGTAGTAATATGCCTTTATAGTGCATGTGCGGATATAGTACGCTATAAGCCTAGTGTAATTAACGCCCGCGTATTAAGCCCGGTTAAGACCTACGGCTGTCATCTGATTTTCTGGGTGGTTCTCCAAATTTGGATCCTGGTTCTCGACTCATCTCGGCCCATGGCAAAAGAAGCACGTTCAATTTCGGGTGAGCTGCCTTCAAAGCCCTAAATCTGAGGTAAGTCACTCGGGGTTACCGAGTGTAGGGACCGCCCTAAACCCCAAAAACCCGAAACCAATCCAGTGCCCTGAACCCCAGGCATGCCGACCACTTGGACTGGACAGGCTGGAGCCTCTTGCTTGCGGGACGCCTCTTGGCTGTGCTCAGGGGTTTAGGGTTCAGGGTTTAGGGTTCAGGGGTTTAGGGTTTAGGAATCAGGGTTTAGGGTTTAGGGTTTACAGGGTTTAGGGTTTAGGATTCAGGGTTTAGGGTTTAGTTTGTAGGGTTAGGGCCCAAAAGTGCTCGACTTAGGGTTTCGGGTGCAGGGTTTAGGGTTTAACATGTTAGGGTCCCGTGAGGGTTTGGAGTCAAAGTTTCACGGTGTAAGGTGTATAGGGTTCAGGGTTTAAGTTTGGAGCTTCGAGGACTTAGGAGGGTTTTATGAGTCGTGCGACCTTGACGCTGTAAGGTTGTTCCCGGGTTGAATCAATAGGACTAGAAGAGCGTAGGACTGGCGCCAAACCACAAACCTTCAACCGCAAGCTACTTGGAGGATCAGGGGACTTAGCAAGTAAGGTAATAAGTACCCCATTATAAGTATAATTACCTACTTTGTTGACAACCTCAGTTACTAAGTCCCATGATCCTTTAGGTACCCTAAACCCCTATAGATCCCTTATAGGAACCTTTCAAGGAGCCCTTTAAAGTTACTAAGTCCCATGATCCTTCAGGTAGCATTGGGCGAGAGAAGATCTTCCGACTGAGGAAAGTTGTGGCGCTTCTTGCCCAACACACCTGCAACTGCCGAGGCATGCTGGAATGGTTTAGGGTTTAGGGTTTAGGGTTTAGGGGGGTTTAGGGTTTAGGGTAGGGGGGTTTAGGGTTTAGGGTAGGGGGGCTTAGGGTTTCGGGTTTAGGGTTTAGGGTAGGGGGGTTTAGGGTTTCGGGTTTAGGGTTTAGGGTAGGGGGTTTAGGGGGTTTTAGAAGTTGTATAGTGTGAAAACAGCCAGTTTCGGCAACAAGGGTTCCGTCATGGGTATGTAAGGGACACTCAAGTCGTGTTGAGCATTGAGGATTTAGAAAACCTGAAGCTGCGATTCACAGCCCATTCCCGCAAGCTCCGACATCCTCCACCGTAAGAGGTTGTGCTAAATCTGCGAACGGAATGAAACTCGAAGCCTCAAAGGGACACCTTTAAGCCTGTATAGTACCCTCACCGAACCTTCATAGTAACTGACTGCAGTAACCCTTTTGGAACCTTTAACCTGTCAACCCCCAACACCCGTAAAGCGTCGTATCGGTGAGGGCATACCAGTCTGACATGGGTAGTTCTCTAAACTAGGGTCCCGTTTTAGGTCCCCCAAGCAGTACGACACCCTTGTAAAAAAACACCCTAAAAGGGATCCCTAAAGCCCTATTTAAAAACCTTTTTAGAGTACCCTTTCAGAAATTCTTATGGTTCCCTTGAATGAAACCGAAAAGGGACCCTGATTTAGAGGGCTACCGACATGCTTTACATCCCAAAGTTTTCATGTGCAGGAGGCTCCAAGGTTCGTTATAGTCGCTCGGGCTGTCAGTCTTGCCGCGGTGTGGAGTTTCCTTTGTGCATGTTTAGATATGGTCCTGTTGATTGTTCAGGGTTTAAGGTATTGAGTCTAAAGTAAAGTTCTCTCACTGCTGTCGCTGTCAGTCTTATCGCCAGCTGCTGACACAGTGAACCGACAAAGTTTGGCGCGCCCTGTAGCCTGCGGGTGAAGTTGAGTTCCCGTGTGGCTTGCGTTGAAAGTTTCGTGCTCGGGGCTTTAGTGGTGTATGGTTCGAGGAGCTGTAGTATTGTGACATTCACTCAGCATCAACTGAAAATTGTGGGCTTGGAACCGCTGTGGAAAAGGAAATGTCTACGACACCCTAGAAACCCTCAGAAGATAAACATCTGTTACATCTTTTCAACCCAGCGAACCCTGCAACAAACGCATGCAAAACAGAATCAGATATAAGACCGTATCAACAAGAAAGCCTTGGCAACACCCTGAGCCCCATTTCTGGGAACCCTAAACCCTCAACCCTAAACCCTGAACCCCTAAACCCCTTGCTGGAGGTGCTGTCGGCCTGGAGAGAATCCTTTGGTCTCAGCGGGCCGGGCGGAGAGCACCCTGCCGGCATTTGGGGCTTGGGGTTTAGGGCTTAGGTTCAGGGTTTAGGGTTTAGGGTTCAGGGTTTAGGGTTTAGGGTTTAGGGCTTAGGTTCAGGGTTTGGGTTTCAGGGCCAAGGTTTTGTGTGTGGGGCTTACGGCTTGATTCTTAACCCTTAAACTGGCCCTAAACCCTAGCCCGATTTGAGTCTGTAGTCATAGTATGCCGAAACACACCCTTCGGCGTTTCGCCCGCCCCACATGATGAAGTCCCTAAACCCTAAACCCTAAACGCTATAAGTGGTTCTGAGCTTCTGCTATGTTGTTCGGCGTTAGCAGGCTCTGGGGGTGTACAGGATCATGGAAACTAGTAACTAGGGTTTTAAAAAGAGGGAAATACGGCATCGATGGATAGGGGTGACTGTACCTAGACCCCAAATAACCTACGTTTTTTAAGGACTTATATAAAGACATCATATGAAGGAACCCTAAAAAGGTAGGTTATTTGGGGTTAAGGTAATCATAGTAATTTAGAATGCTAATTGACAAAGATAACCTTTGTTACTAGGGCGGCCACCGGGCCCCCAAACCCCTAAACCCCAAAGCCTTAAATCGGACCCAAAGCCTTACACTTGTAACCCCTTAAACCCTAAGCCTACACTCTAAACCCTATGCCTTATGTCAGCTTGGGAGGATCGGGCAGATGTAAAACGGAGTTCAAAAAAAGAAAAACGCTAAGCCTTCAAAACTCCCAAACCCTCAAACATTGCATTCTAAACCCGAAGCCCTAAACACTAAACCCTGAACCCTAAACCGTTAAACTAAGAGGGCCGTCAACCAAAGTGAAAAAAACCTTTAAACTCCCAAACCCTCCAAACCCTCAAAAATTGCATTCTAAACCCGAAGCCCTAAACCCTGAACCCTTAACCTCTCGAGGCCTTCAAAGCAAAGCCCAAGAAGTCATAGAGTCACAGCCCACGACTTCTCTTTAGGTTTGGGCCGAGGCTTGGGGTTTAGGGTTTAGGGTTTAAGGTTGAGGGTTTAGGGTTCCTTATGGGCTCCTTAAAGGGATCTATAAGGGTTCTATAGGAGTTTAGGGTAGGATTGAGGGTTTAGGGTTTAGGGTTAAGGGCGAGGCGTCTCAGGGCGTTAGGGCTTTCGGGCTTAGGTTTTTGGAGGGTTTACGGGGGGTCGGGGTTTTCACATCTGCGAGCCCGATCCCAAAACCCGCCAAAGCCTAAACCTGAGGCCTCAGGGTCTAGGCCTAGGCTTTATCTTAGCTTGTCTGAGGCTTTTCTCCATTGCCGGAAGCTGGAACACGCAGGAGGACCTGTTTAAGCAGGACCCGTGGCGAGGCCATCGTTTCGGGCTTTTGGATTTCGGGGGTTCAGGGTTTAGGGTTGTGGGGTTTTGATCCGCAGCCGTGCAGTGTTTCGGATTTCAGGTTCGGGTTTTAGGGCATCTAGCTGACCCCGCAGCACCCGGACGTAATTTTGTAAGTTGACTCTATACCTTAACCCCACGTAACCTACCTTTTTAAGGACTTATATAAAGAAATCAGATTAATGCCCTAAAAAGGTAGGTTCCTTAGGGTCCAGGTAAACCGAGGCTGATTGGCTGGGTTTTACGGGCACAGCTCAACAGTTCGAGGCTCTTGTTCCTTCTGTAGCCGGGTGAGGGAAGGAACACTCCTAGGTTTGCCTTAAAGGGGATTCCTAGGGGCTTTAGGGTTTTGGGTTCAGGGTGTAGGGTTTAGGATCACTTTAAAGAGATTCCTAGCGATCTGTGATTGGGTTCATTCCTTCACTCCTGGCTAAGCAGGGCTGGGGTCTCCCTCTTGTCCCAATATGTCCCAATAACAGTCCCAGAGTAATGAAAAGCAGGGGCTTAACCCTACAACCTAAATCCTCAACCCTAATCCCTCACCCTAGACTCTTCACCCTACTCCCTAGACCCTAAACCCTAAAACCTAATGTAACTAGAGTATTCAATCCCTTGTTGTGGCTGCTACCGGCTGGGGGAAAGACCTTGGATGGGCGTTTGAAAAGCTTACTGATGCTTGGCCAGGAATGAGGGAATGGACCTCATTGCCCATCCCAGGAACCCGTTTAGGATATGGGTGGTTGGCAAAATTAGGGTCCTTTTCTGGGTCCCTAATATAGTACGGCACCTAATATTTAGGGTACCTAAAAAGGGACCCTAATTTTGACAACCACCCATATAGGGCTTAGGGTTTAGGGTTCAGGGTGTTACGGCTTATCGCTAGGAATTCCTTTAAGGCCAGCCCAGGGATGGTCATACCTGGCTGAGCATGAGCAAGAATGCTAGTCAGCATCAGACCCCGAAATTTGAGAGGGTTGTGGGTTTACGGAGCAAGGTCCAGGATTTATTCCCTAAACCCAAAACCCTTGATGCTTCAGGGTCTAGGGTTTATTAGGGTAAGGTTCAGGGTTTTGCATCTTCAGGAGGTGCTTGGGCTCAAGCGCGTGGTAGGCTTCAGCAGCCAGAAACGCAGCTGCCGTCCACCATGGCACCCAAGCGGGGAGTCGAGACGAGCAAGCAACTGCCGCCCAGCAAGAGGCGGAAGGTAAAGGGTTCCTTAAAGGGATCTATAGGGGCTCCCTAAAGGGATCTATAGGGTTTAGGGTTTAGGGTCTACTTGGAGGATCAGGGGACTTAGTAAGTAAGGTTATAAGTACCGTAATTGAGGTTATGCGTATTTTTACGCACAGTTACCTGATTTATAACCCTAGTTACTCAGTCCCATGGTCCTTTAAGTAAGCCCTAAGCCCTAAACTATTGAACCCTTAACCCTACACCCTAAAGCCTAAGCCCGAAACCCTTAACTCTAAACCAAAAGGCTTGAAGCCCCAACCGAGACCTAAACCGTAGCAAACCCGCCAAGCTTGCAGCTACTCGTATCGTTGATGGAGGGTTTGGGCTTAGGTACCAAGCTGAAACTTTCAGTTGCAGCCGAGCCCGACCCTAAATTCCGAACCCCAAACCCCGCACCTGAAAGAAGCCTCGAACCCTTGACCCGAAACCATAAAACCCTGAAGCATAGACCTTAAACGTCAAACCCGAAAACCCTGGTCCGACACCATAAATCCCCGAAACCTAGACCCTCATTAAACCTTAACTCCTGAAACTACATGCCGAAGCCCAAACCTTAAACCTTGTAACCTTAAGCGCCAAAGCCTACACAATATAAACAAACGCTAAACCCTAAACCCCAAACCCTAGACCCCAAACCCTACATCTCAAACCCTAGACCCCAAGCCCTAACCCCTATATGGGTAGTTGGCAAAATTAGGGTTCCTTCTTGGGTGCCATAAATATTAGGTGCCGTATTATGATAGGTACCCAACAAGGGACCCTAATTTTGACAACCACCCATATGCTAAGCCCGCAGCAGCCAAACATAAAGTCAGGCCGAAGCAGGCGAAGAAAGCAGCACCCCCAATGCCGCAGCTCCGCGTGCTGACCTCTTCATCCAAGGAGGGTTTAGGGTTTGGAGTTTAGGGTTAGAGTTTAGGGTTTAGGGTTTAGAGTTTAGGGTTTAGGGTTTAGAGTTTAGGATGGAGGGTGTTGGGTTTCATCTTGGGATCTGGAGTTGGAATCTTAGGGCTTAGGGTTCAGGGCTGACCTCTTCATCCAATGAGCGCCTAGGGTCTAGGATTTAGGGCTTACGGTTTAGAAATTTGCAGTTTTAGGCTCAATCAAATGAGGGTCTCCCTTAACCCCACGTAACCTACCTTTTTAAGGACTTATCTAAAGAAATCAGATTAAGGAGCCGTCTGGCTTACTATGGGTTCTCCAAAGCCCTAAACCCAAAGGCTTCGACCCCTGAACCCTAAACTCCATACCTTAGAAGCTGCCCCCACCCTGTAATAGTGGCTGTAAGGATTATATTAATATTATATTAGGGCCCTATTATATTCCTATTATGCCACTATTACAGGGTGGGGGCAGCTTCTAATCCATACCCTAAACCCTAAACCCGCAACCTCTCGGCCCCATCTATCCTTCTCCATCTTCATCCGTGCCAGATGCCCGCAGGAAGAGCTCGTCAAGCTTATCGGAAGTTTGTGCCGCAAGTACCCAGAGGTGCCGGATCGAGGGCTGTGAGTTTAGGGTACCGGGTTTAGGGTTTGGTAAAGGGGTTGGGGTTTCGGCTTTAGGGTTTAGAGTTTAGGCTTTAGAGTTTACAAGGGCGTTAGGACATGTCAATTGTGGAAAGCTGTCAGCTTAAGATTTAGGATGTGTTGTTCAACCCTACAAACTAAAGGGTTTAGGGTTAGGGTTTAGGGTATTTACCTGCGAACCTAAAGCATACACCTTTAGCCATCAAGCCTGAAACGCGGGTTTCCGGCTTAGGGCAGGTTCCGGGTTTAGGGTTCAAGGATCAAGGACTTTGTCGAGAGACTGCTGCCTACGGACTGGTGTTTCAACAGTCAAGACCTCATGCTGGACCCCCCCCCCACCCCCACCCACCCACCACTCACCCACACACCCACCCACCAGCATGTACAGGGCGCGGCATGTCTATCAAGTTCTCATTAAGCCTGCTCTCGAACATGCCTTCCGGTGTCTTGCATGCAGGAGCGAAGTTTCATTCAGGGTTCAGCGGTTTAGGGTATTCAATGCCAACTAACTCACAAACTCTTTGGCTGACTACCTGAAAGTTGAATGCGTCAGTAGACATGGGTAAAACTGGCTCGATGGGATGTTTCCACTTTCGAAGAAGCGAGATTAAGCCTACAGCCTTGACCCTAAATCCTGAAGCCTAAACTAAACCCTACAACCCTAGCCACAACACTAGTTTCCCAGAGACTCCTACATCCCTTCACTATGGAATATACCTTAAATCATATCACGGACCTTACTGTGATTTAAGGTATACTCATCAATTAAGGCATTGGAGTCTCTGGGTTGTTGGAGTGTTTCGTTTCCAGGGTTAAATTGTTGGAGTCCTGTTGGAGGTGCGGCCAGAGGTGGGCGCCTTTGCGCCGTCGGTGCCCGTATCTTGGCGGCTGTCGGAAACCCTAGACCCTCCCTAACTGTACAAGTGGTTGCGTTAAGTCGTCCCGCCCTGAAGTCATCCCTTTTGCGCGTGGACATGGGGATAGGCATATCCTAGCCCTATCGAGGTAATGAGGCAATATTCGTAAGTAGTCATGAAGTTTTGGCTGGTGGTTGTGACAGATTGGTTTTAGCGCCTGTTCGTGATCTCGTCGCTAGGCTTCTCCTTGAGTGTAGATGGGGATTTTGGATCTCTAACGTTCGAACTTCAAAGATTGGTGGACTAGACTGTCCGGAATGTATGTGCCTTGTAAACATCTTACTTGCGGATGGGACCATTCGCCTGCCAGTGCTATGTGCTTTGTAACATCTGCTGCGTCGGCGTCTACTTGCAAGACTGTCGAACAGACTGTCTGGAATGTGTGTTTTGTAACCGTTTCGGCGGCCGCATCTACTTGCAGAGCGGAGCAAACGCAAGGGTTTTGCCGCGACCTTCAGGAAAACAGTGTTACACTACTTGTTTCTTATATAAGTTTGCTATGCACAGGGGGGTCTCGGTCAGCCTAATCGCCGCTGAACACACCACTACCGTTAAATACAGGGTTGAATATAGGTTTTAAGAGCAATATAGAGCTGAATGGGGTTTTGCTCTGATGCCCATGACGTTTGTCTTGAGCTTGTGCTTCTGGAATCGTGCGTCTACTTGGGGAACAAGGAGGGTGGTGGGGTGGATTTGTTTTGAGAGGGCCATGATATCACACCGGAGGGTATCGCTCACTCCAATATTTAAATCTACGACCGGGTATCGTTCAACCTGATGTAAAACTTGAAACCGGAGAGGCAGCGGGTGGTGCATCCCTCACGCCGGCAGGTGCTTGTGAAATCGAGCGTGTACATGGGGAATGGCTGGTTGTCGTGCGCTGTGATGCCGATGATGTGTGTCTTGAGCGCTTGTTAAAACCCTAAACCCTAAAGTCTAAACACTCTTTACCATCTGTTTTTGAACCTTAGTTCATTAGTTGAAATCATTTTCCGGTGCCTTTTTCACCAAATTCGACGAAGAAATCACCACATGCAACGAATTAGCCCACCTATTCAACGAAGGCCGACCCTTCGTTGAATATGGTGTTTTTTCTCTTGGATTGTTCAAGGTTTAGGGTTCAGGGTCCAGGGTTGAGGGTTCAGGGCCAAATTCAGGTTTAGGGTTCAGGGTGTAGGGTCCAGGCCTGGGCTTTAAGGTTTAGGCTTCAGGGTCCAGGGTTGAGGGTTCAGGGCCAAATTCAGGTTTAGGGTTCAGGGTGTAGGGTCCAGGCCTGGGCTTTAAGGTTTAGGCTTCAGAGTCCAGGGTTTAGGGTTCAGGGCCAAATTCAGGTTTAGGGTTCAGGGTGTAGGGTCCAGGCCTGGGCTTTAAGGTTTAGGCTTCAGAGTCCAGGGTTTAGGGTTCAGGGCCAAATTCAGGTTTAGGGTTCAGGGTGTAGGGTCCAGGCCTGGGCTTTAAGGTTTAGGGTTCAGAGTCCAGGGTTTAGGGTTCAGGGCCAAATTCAGGTTTAGGGTTCAGGGTGTAGGGTCCAGGCCTGGGCTTTAAGGTTTAGGCTTCAGAGTCCAGGGTTTAGGGTTCAGGGCCAAAGGTTCAGGTTTAGCGTTCAGGGTTTAGGGTTCTGGGGCTTTCAGGTTCAGGGTTCAGGGCTTAGGGTTCGTATTTACGGGGGATTCTGGGGCTGTATCATAGAGTTAAAGCGTTGCTACAACTTGGCGATTTATAAACGGTGCAAAGTTTAAGCCTTAGGCTTCAGAAGTAAATTGTAGGTATTTGATCTGACCTCTGGGACGTATAAAAACTGTGGTTTCTCTATGTTGAGGGTTCCTGGATGGGTGGGTGGGAAATTTTTCTAGGATCACCCTAAACCCTAAAAGCGCAAGGATCTCATATTCCACGGCAAACCCTAAGCCCTGGACCCTAAAAGCCTAAAGCGAAGGGATCTCATATTCCACCAAAACTGAAACCCTGACCCCAAACTCTAAACCCTTAAACCCTAAATCCTCAAACCTTAAGCTTATAAGGTGGATGCAATGATTTCTGAGATCGCGAAGGCGCCTGGGATCAAAAGCTGACTGGTGGACCTCAGGTCCTTTGTGTTTCCGGTTGGGTTCTGGGTTTGGGGTTTCGGGGTTGGGGCTTAGGGTTTCGGGGTTACGTAGGGTTTAGGGATTTAGGGTCTAGGGTTTAGGGTATTTCAGGATTGAGAGATATAGGGTTTAGGATTCAGGGATGTAGGATGCGGGTTGACCTCAGCTCATGGGTGCTTCCTGCTGAGGAAAACGCGGGTAGCCGGTTGGTGGTAAGAGTGACTTGTTGACCCGAAGTCATCGGTGCTCCCTGCTGTGGACAGCAGGCGAGATGTACAGCGGCTGGTGATAGAGTCGGAGTGGGCTTTGAGTTTAGGGTTTAGGTTTTAGGGTTTGGGGTTCAGGGGCTGAGGGGTTTAGGGCTTAGGGTGCACATACCCTGAGGCCGCAAGGCAGATCAGCAACAAGCTCCCCTGGGACAGATATGGGCGCGGAAATCAGGATACTTACGCGTACAACCGTGTCAAGAGCTTCATCTCCAACTTCGCGAAGGTCCTGAGCGGGCATCTTAAGACTGTCGAGTCCAGCGGTCAGCACGAGAAGCTGCAGCACTTCCTCCAGTCTTGCTGCTGGGACATGTTCGGTACTAGTATCCGATGCTTTGAAGCTGGTTTACTTATGGACTTAAATGGAACTCCGGAAAGTTGGAATATGGATTAATGGTAGGATCCCCTATAATTTACCTTAAAGGGGTTACGAAAATGGTATTCCAACTTTCTGGCTTCTACTGTATGGGTTGAGGGTTTGGGGTCGAGGCCTGGGGTTTACGGAGCAGGTTATATAATCAGCTAGGAGCCGAGGATTGAGAGTCTGGGATGGTTGGAGTTTCGGAGCCCGTGCTAAGCTTCTAGGAATAAGCTATGTTAGTCAATGTTAACCCTAAGCCGAAACCCGTAAAACCCTAAACCCTTACTTGGTGATATTGTTCCGAGAGTCTCTCGGCTGAGCGACCGCACACCCAGAGAGTCGAGACACGTTTCGGACTTTCCGGAGGACGACTCATACTCATGATGGCCCTAAACCCAAGCCCTAAACTCAAAACCTCATACCCTGTGTCTTGAACCCTCACCCTGACCCCCTAAACCCCAAAAGCCCTAAACCCTAAAGCCCGGAACTCGGAAACTCGAAACCTTGTCTCCTAACCCTCAACCCCAAAGCACCCTGAAGCCTCAACCCTCCTGCTCCAGTAAGGTTACGAGCAGGTGACTGATATGCATACTTTCAGCGACCCCAAGCACAATGCCTCGCAGCGACGATTGAAGATGGCGCTTGAGAAGCTCGGGCTGCTCCCGATCTCAAAGGTCTAGGTGTCTGGGGTGTTAGGGTTTAGGGCTTAGGGTATCGTAGGATTCAGGGTTTAGGGCTTAGGGTTTGGGTGTCTAGGGGTCTACGGTCTAGGGTTCAGGAGGTAGGGTTGATGATGTAGGCTTCAGGGTTTAGGGTTCATACCTAGAGCCTCTGATTGCCAGGGCTCCATTGTCCTCTCGCCAGGAAAGTTGCCACAAAACATGGCGTCATGCTTGAAGGGGAGCTCGAATCTGAGGGCGAAGTGTCACCTGCTGATGACGAAGTCATGTAGACATTTAGGGTATCGGGTTTAGGGTATAGGAGTTAGGCTTTAGGCTTTAGGGCTTAGGGTCCAGGTGTTGAGGGTTTAGGGGTTTAGGGAAAGGCTTTGCGGCTTCAGCGTTCAGGCTTTAGGGTTTAGGTTTCAGGGCCTTTTGCTTGTCGGAAGGGGTTAGGACGCTGAGGGTGTGGCGCCTGCCCAATCTCTCAGAAGCACTGATCTACAGCAGCAGATCGCTTGTAATTGTGCAGATACCAACTGACCCACTGAACGCGAACGCACCCCCCACACCCTGTACCTTAAACCCTGCACATCCTGTGTTACATGCTGCGGCCATCTGAGAGGTTTGGCACGTAGCCAGACAGCGTCCTCTGCACGGGCTAACCTGTGCATAAGGGGTGCGAGAAGCGCAAAAATACAGCAGCTGCAGTGCCGGTTTAGGGTGTAGGGGGGCGTGCTCCTCATCCTCTTTATTAGCCAGGCATGAAAGAATGAACCTCCCTAGGGTGGGAGTTAGGATTAGGGGGACCCTTGGGGATATAGACCCTCTCAATAAGGCCCTTTTTAAGAGTTAAGAGAGCCAGAAGTAGGGTTCAGAAGGAGTACCCTTTCAGGGGTCTCCCGAATAATACTACCCATAGGGTTAACCTTGAAAGGACTCTTGTGGATAGGTAGAGCTGTTCACTCATTCTCTCGTCGCCGGCCAAGCCTGCCTATACATAGGGGCCTTAACTAATTATTGCCCATACTCTTTTGGGGGTTCCTTGTCATATTTATAGTATATTGGGCCCCCAAACCCTATTCTAAATATGAAGGTCCCTGTAGCACGCACTGGGCATGCAACCCACAGCTTCTGCGCAATTCTCCTGCCACGCAGCTCAGCCCCAGGTTCTGAAGCTAGGCCCAAACCCCTGTATCCTAAAGGCCCTAAAGCCTCAAAACACCCTAAAGCTCTACACCCTAATGGCCTAAACCCTAAAGCTCTAAACTCTGAAGCCCTGAACCGTAAAGCCCTAAACCCTAAAGTCCTAAACCCTAAAGCCCTGAAGCAGGTATTGAAGTGCTGCAGGAAGCCGGGGAGATCATCGTCTTTCCTGGAAGCTGGTTCCATCAGACGAGAGCGGAGGTGCGAGGGTGAGGGTTTAGGGTTTGAGGGGGTTTAGGGTTTGGGGTTTGGCGTCTAGGTCCGGTTTCAGAGCTTGGGGTTTAGGGTTTACGGTTTTGGGGTTTGGCGTTTAGAATTTGGAGCTTGGGGTTTAGTGTTTGGTGTAGAGCTTGGGTTTAGGCTTCGGGGCCTTTGAACTTTGGGTTTTAGCGTTTGGGGTTTAAAGGTTCAGGGTGGACCAGACAAGAGTCAACCGCAGGCAGAAATTTCAAA